AATGGAAATCATTATCATAAATGACCCTTTGGAAACCTCAGGATACTCTTCACTCAATTGGTCTCAACCTCAGCCAATGCATGCAACGTGATGTTGCGCTATTCTCATTTCAGGTCCATCGAAGAATCCCTTGAATACTAAGAACACCAAAATATATTAGCAAATATGTCGACATATCTATCTGATATAGACATCGAAATATCACCAGTATCATCGAACTATCACCAGTTATAGCAGTATCTATATGGAATATTTTGGTAACGGTGAAACCACCCTGCTTGGTGCCCTACTTGGGTGACCCATCAGGCGAACGCTCGTTGAAGATCATCTTCGTGTCCAGCGTGCGCTCCTTAAGGAATGGCGCAGAAAATGGCACCATTCAGTTCAGCAGATACTGTACCTTCTGGCAATCAAAACAAATAGGACATCCCTGATAAATGGAGGTTTCGTCATATATAGGTGGGCATGTTCATGTATTTTCACATTTTTTTGGGGGATGATAGTGGAAAAACATCAACAAACAACCCACCTCAGCAGTGGATGACCCCCAACTGTGTCTGAGGATAAATCAGAGCCCGAGATGTGGAAGTACATGTGCCCCACAGCGAGCATTGCTTTTTAGTACGGGGATGGTCAGCCTCAAAATCTCAATCGTTTGGATCACTGATTGAGGACTGGATTGTATGGCAATAGACAATCCTCCATTTATAGATTCTAGTTGATTTTACCATTGACACCTCCAACTTTTAGATAAGATGGTGATAGACTAGGTACGAGGCACACGGTCGGTGGCTCAGTGCAGCCTCCATGCCACGTCTCGTCGTCTCGTTTTGAGTGGCTGAGGTGATTGGCTGGTGCTGAAATATGCTTCCACGGATCTGAAAGATCGATTGTCCAGACAGTTTCAGGCTGGAAAATGCTGGAAAAATGCTGGAAAAATGCTGGAAAAATGCTGGAAAGATTGATGAGATGAAGCTTCGAAGTAACATTGTCGGAACTGGCAAGAGGTTGATGCCATTGACAATACTGTGCACCATGGGGAATTTGATTTAGACTCCCACGCTATATAGCTGAAGAAGCGTTGCATTAATACGTTGATTCGTCCACATCAACGAAGGACAGAATGTTTCTGCAGACATACTGTAAGCCGCTCCGGTGACATCAAACAATTTCTTGCAAGAGTAAGACTGGATATGGGGTTTGTCTGAAAAACTACGGCACTCCCAATTCTAACAGATCACCATTTTCCCATAAAGCACGGCCAGGGGCATAACACAAAGCCACAAGGGATATCAAGTCCAACCGCTGCAGGTCTCTGGTATACCACAGCTGATTGTGATTGACGCTGTTGGGCGGCAGGCAATTTCTCCGGGGTGTTGTGAATTGGTCTGGAATCACCAGCCATGATTTTTCGACATTTTTTCCACATTTGGCCGTGGTTGCCGTAAGATTCAGGTTCCGTTGCTCCGGCATCGTTGCGCTCTTGTAGATTTTGGCTGAGAACAACATTTGCACTATACTTTGGCTGAAATATATAGGAAAGCAACATTAATACTATAATTGTACAATATACTATAGAGACATATTACTACATATTGTTATATCCTGTACATATCAATCCCATACCACCAAGAGCTACGTTGCTCATTGTGAGCCACCAGGCAGTGAGAGATGCACGACAAGATGTCATGGGGGCATCCTCCTCCACGCAGGCTGAGTGAAACTGCTTGACATATTGGCTTTGAAGGGGTGAATTAATGTTTGTGTAATTGGCAGGTTCGGTCTCAAGAAGTTTTATTCCCGTGCCAGCTTACACCATCTGATTTGATTTCAATTTTCTTCAATTTTCTCATATACTTTGAGTTTCATACCTTTGGGCAATGCCGTATGGAAATTCCAATTCAGTTAAACTTGTCTAACTGGTTTGACATTCTCTTGACTATCGCCCAATAGATGCATGTTTGCCACCAGCTATAGGCCTTTTCTTCATGAATGTGGTTTGGAAAGCCAGTTTTTAAAGCAAAAAACATGGGCTGCGAGGTTCTGACCACCTACCACACTTGGAAGACTGCAGCTGGAGCAACTTCCGCGCCACAGGTGACCTGGGCTCATGGAAGGTCTCAGGTTTCAATAGCCACACTTTGACAAAGTAGAGACCATTTCTGTAACATCTTTGACTAAGAATAAAGCAATAGCTTTATTTCCCGTGAAAAAATGGGAATCCTTGGTTCACTCACCGAGCGGCAAAGACGGTCGCGGTTTCGCAGGCGGATTCGGTCGCTCAGCTTCCGTGCCGAGCTAAGGGTGGCCATCATATGCCAAGACCATCCAAGACATATATGTATTTTATGGTATTTTTGGACAATGATCAAATCCAGTTTTCCATATTTATCATATCAATGATCATCTTGAGCACTCAGAGTTTTGGACATGCTTAAAACACTTCTTGAACAAATCCTGTTTTCCAGCTTCCACTTGGAGCATATCACAGCATATGGATCATATGGAGAGTGTGGATGGATGGACAAGCTTCGGAAGAGACCTGATTTGAACGAGGTTTGGAGCTCGAGTTCTCATCCGCGGGCTGCAGGGCAAGAGGGGGCTCTCAGACCCAAGATGTTGCCACATCCAGCAGTGAAGTTGGAGACTTTGAGGCCAGAGAACAACGGTTTGGAAGGAGTTGTTCAAAGGCGCGACATGGGACCATCAAAGACCAACCAGACCAACCATGCCGACGAAAGCAGATCACCTAAGAATACTTATAGACATAGTTTCTCTATGGAATTTCTCTCAATCTTGGCGCAAATCAAAAACCATCAAACACCATCTATACTCAGCAATGTTCTGGAAACTTCTGGAAACAAACAAGGTGTCCTTGATAATCCTGTGTAAAATTAGTTTATATAAACATTTATGAACCCTCCAATGCCCATCTCCAAGTGGAAAGCTCGCGCCAGTTTCGATGCCTCCCAAAGAAGATATGTGGTGAACGTGGCCGAAAGGCAGGGGACCAGCTGCCGGTCTCACCTGGTCACAGGCCACGGATGGTATCGGATGGTCACCAGGTCGTTGTCCCTGAAAGCAGCGAATCTGCCGGGAGCTCAATAAGTCGATATAAATTCCTGGAAAATTTGGAGGCAGTCACAACGAGGTGGTGATTTTGAGCGATTTTGAGTGGGGTGGGGGAGCTGTGTGGCCTGTGAAACGGTCCTTATGATGCCTGGACGTTATATTTCGTCATCAGTGGTGCTGTTCAAAAACCACTTCCCTACTCTTTCCCAGCATAGAAGTATGGTATTTGATCGTTCTGATACTTGTTTATGGTTTCCCGACTATTCCTTTGAGGTTGCAACTTCTGAAACTTCAGGCCAGCGGTCATCAAAATGCATTTTTTAACGAGCTGTTGGAGAGACTCACTACACTGACCTTTTCTGATGGAGACTCTGATCGCAAGTCACCTGCAAATACCTGCAAGACATCTCGGCCAATTCGGCCATCTCAGCTGTGGAGTTCCCCCAGCCATGACCGCCATACCCAGTGCCGGGCTGAATTTGGGCGCAGCCACCGAGGAGGAGATCAGAGAGTTCCTGGGATCGATCTCTGCGGATGAACGGCAGAAAGTTCTGGATGCCCTGAAGATCGTTGCAGGATCTTCGGAACCGGGACCAAAACCTGTGAAGCTGGCGGCATCGTACATCATGCAGGCAACAGATGGAGAGTGGGGGTTCTACCTCATGGAGGTGAAGTTGAATTCTGATGCTACTGGAAGCGTCAAGGAACAGGTTTCCACCAGCGCAGAATCCCCGGAAGTGACTGAGGTGTGGTCTGGGAACTTCCACTTTGGCGGAGATTCCATGACCTTCCAGGGCACCGAGGTGGAGATGATGTCGGATACTGGCAAGGTCGCGGAGCTGCTTGGAGCGACAGAACGACACGGAAACATGTTCTCTTTTAGATGTTTCATGATGTTTCCCTTCATGGAACACCCTGTGGAATGGAGTAATTTACAGTATATAATTTACATTGATATATTAATTTAGAGCATTTTAGAGCCATGGAGCACGTTTATTATCCGGGAAGACATGGTTTTATGATGTTTTTATGATGTTTTTATGATGTTTTTATGATGTTTTTATGATGTCTTACAATATGTTTTATGCATGAAATGAGATGATGTGAGATGATGTGAGATATTGTGAGATTATTTTTCCCCATTTTTTCACGGAGGTTTAAGAGAGAGACGAAAGCAGGGAGCAAAGAGTACCGCTTTCGGAAGGCAGAGGAAGGACGCCTGCTTCATCTTGGGGAGGATGGTGAGCCTCTTGATTGTCCTTATCCCTTGAAAGAGGGAGAGAAGAAGTACATCTACCCCCAGGGAGGTGAGGTGACTATTGAAGTACCTTGAAAAATCACACCATTGATCAGCTGACTTTTCTGCTACTGCGATGCAGTGCTAGCCGCTTGTCTGAAAAGATGCGCCAAGCCGACGATGCCGATCCACGTCTTTGTCTTGCAAACTCATGACGTGTCACTTGTTTCCATGGTTACAATCTCATTCAGAGCTCCAATATCATCAATATCCAGCCATGATATCCCGCTTCTGATACTTGAAGGGGGCGATACGTTTCAATGCTCCCCTGTTTGGTGAATCTTGGGGATCAGGATCTCCATCTGGCAGGTGAAAACCAGTGAGGAGCCACACGAGGAGGATCCGTGGCACACTCAGAGCTGCTGGGCCATGTTTTGCCATGGTGCACCACGGTCGTCACGTGACCTGTTGAGGGTATCGAAATGTATCGAACGCATTCCATTTTGAGATATTTTTGGTTGTTTTTGGAGGTCTGAAAACTTGGTAAAAGGATGGTAAAAGAACAACATGCTAAACCGGGGATGCTGGGACATATTCACATGATCATAGAGTGTTTATCTTCAATGCCAGGTGGAATGAAGCCGAAGTGGCTGAATTTGATGAGGACCAAAATGAACCAATGTTGCCATAGTCACTCCAAAGTTGATGTCCAAGTTTAGGCACTGATTCACTGGCAGGAAACAGGAGATTTGCTCTGCAGCATTTCGGGTTCCGAAAAGGCCTGGTAAAAAAAATGGATGTCACATGATGTCACCAACTTGGGGATGTGACCAGGAAAAATATGAGGATCCAACATGTTTTAGCACTTTTGGGGATGGATTCCAAAGCAGCAGTTTAGGCACCAACAACCAGAACTTATGTTGGGGAGACTGACTTCACAGGTGAAACGCCGCTTGGAGCCTGCGCAACTGCGCCTGAGTTCTGGAGCTCTTGTGGCAGCTGCTGCCTTAGGAGACTCTCAGCATGCGGTTTGGAATTTTTGGATATTAGTATGTTTTAACCGTTCCTTGTGGGTTTGTCCAATTCCACCATCCCTTTTTTTTTAATGAACTTGTGGTTTTGTCCAATTCCACCGATCTATCACTTATCTATCATCATATATCTATCAGATCTGAACATATCTGAACCACATTCCAACATTCATATCATTCATGAGATCACCAGAACACTTTTATCAATTCACTAAATTGATTGACATTAACTGTTTCACATCTTATACCCCGTAATTGATCCACACAGTGTGAGTCATGGCCTTGCCATCCTGCCCAGGTGCATGGCCTCAAGGGTGGCAAAGAATGGAACGAACAGAATGGCAAGGTCCCGGGCGGTCGCAGCAGCTGGGGGTTCTTCGAGAAATAGACGACGAGTTGTCGTTTTTGGAAAACCAGGATGATTGATGATGATGAATTATTGACACAATCAGCTTTAGGTAAGCTTGAGATATATAAAGTAGAGTGTTGAGAATGATATGCAAAATCTAAGTCGAACGGGCTTTGTATTGAAAACATTTGCCAAAATGTGGAGAATTATGAGCACATGGAGGAATTTTAATTCTTTTTCTTTTGTTTACGTCAATTGCTGGTGCATGGTGCACTGGGTCAAGCGAATTTGGACAGTGATTGTCTCCGTTTGATAGTCATTTGCACTTGTGCGCACATTGGGGCCCCCGCGCACTTTCAGCATTATCCAGCATGTCATGGTCCACCGATTTGGACAAAGCCACCTGATCAGGTCGTTGACTTTGACGAAACCACCCAGAGGCACATGCCACTGCTGTCAGCACAGCTTTGAGCAGAGCTGCTAAGCACTGAGTATTGGATGGGGTATTCCGAAGGTATTCCATGATATTCCAATATTGCCAAGTTGTTCTATTGCGGTCTATTGGGTGTCTGAAAATGGGATATCGGTTTGCTAATGTATGGAATTTTCAATTGCATTTGAATGAGAAAAATGAGGAGTTTCACACTTGGGCTGGGAAGGTATACTGTACAGATGACTTCCGACAAGAGCATCAAGTGCTGAGCTGAGAATGGCCCAGAACTGACTTGTCACGAGCCATCAGTTGATTGTCATGGATTGCTGGTGCACTGGATAGTGTCACAACAGTTCTTTGAAGGCGTAATATCACCTTATCATCCATTATCTCCATATGTTGTTGGTTAAGTCTCCATACTATCCCTGTATGTCTATATGTTTGTTTTTGTTCCCGCCCTGTTCAAAATGGAGGCAGCACTGCATTTGATACTCAGGATCAAAATGGAGAACATGCGTCTTTGTCCATTAGCCTGAGTCACGGGTGAGACCTACTGGTGTTGCAAAATCGACAAGAGTCATGCTTCTTCCTCTGCTTAGTAAGTCCCCCAATGCGTTTATTGATAGTCATTATAAACACACTATTTTATTTATAGTATATATATAATTTATAATAGAATAGAACCATGTTATACAGAAACAGGTTGTGTAAAGTGGGATGATCCTCCGAGTAGCAGCGGATTTGCAACGCTGGTTGATGTTGACTTACCGGATGCTGGCAAAAACCATAGAACCAAGGCAACAAAAAGGGCGGTCCGATCCTGCGGTAGACAGTTGACAGTGGGTGGAACTGTCAAGGTACATCAAGTATCGAAAAATCTATGGAGTTGTGAGGTCCGACACATTTTTCAAAGCAACATCCATCAGTTCAAAAACAGTTACCTTACATAGTGGTCAGTGGTATCTCTCCCTCTGGTCACCCGATCTTTCTACTTTTCGATCACTGGAGAGTTTTGATCGCAGACGTTCCTAGGGCTTTTAGTCCCGCCCCTTCGCGTCACCCAGAAGAAAGTGACAACATGAAGGCGTTGCGAAACGGACGGCTCCTGAAGATGATGATTTGCATCGTGCACATTGTATCTGGGAGTGGCAACATCGCTGTGCAATGCAAATAATTGCTAAGGTATGCAACTATTGTACAGTCTACTATATTATTAAAAAGGTCTGATGATGATGATGATGATGGTGATGATGATGATGAAGAAGAAGAAGATGATGATAGACATATTTGCCTGTGCTGTCGTTTTTCCAGTGCCTTTCTTAAGTGCAGCTTATGTAACTGTTTTCAGCTGCGAGCAGTAGTAATTGTACAGGAGGACTACCTTCACACAGACCTTATCTAGTACTGGTATAGAAGCAGCCTCTCAACTCAAAGTGTTGAAGTAGGATTTCGAAAGAGGAGATTGGAGGGGATAGGTATAAAATGGTATAAAGGCATATCACATCACCCACAAGACGGTCGCAAAGCATAGTCAAGGGCAGGTTCACTTGGATTCAAATGGCTAAAGCACTATGAAGTACTATTGGAACTCTGTCAGCACAGAGTGAACAGAGATTTCCCGTTGAACACGCCATCAGTCAGCCATGATGTTTGTATATTTTGGTCGTTCGTTGCTGAGGCCATGCTACGGTGGCATTCGTTCGTCCCTGCGCTAGCAGTATCCTCCTTGTTGCTGATGCTGTTGGAACACCAGCGGGTGAGGCGAATCACTCAACTTCTGGAGAGAGCAAACAACCACCAGGACAGCCTGGACAGTCGGCTGGAGTCGCCCCTGAAGATGTCGAATGTCTGGCAGAGAACAATTTCGGATGTTTCATGATGTTTCTGAAGCCTTTGGAAAGGGCAATTTTTTTTCGCCCCTGTCATATATTAGCCAATATTAGCCATATCTCATAGACATCATAGACTGCATGAACCCAGATGATGATGGATTTCAGTCGGGAAAGCAAAGAAAATGTTAGGGTATCCATTGGCATCCTTGTCATCCTGTGAGGCAGCAGCATGCCGGAGGAGCTTGACTCTCTATTTAGCTTTGGTCGATGTGTCCTTCATGGCAGCGAGTCTCTCCATCCTCCCAGACAGACACACCGTGCCGGACATGATCTTGAGCGCTTTGCGCGAATGTTGCATGCTGTTTGGCATTCTCATCTACATGTCGATGCCACTCTCAGAAGCTCTAGGCGTCGCAAAGGATGACCAGGATGACAGTCGAGACATGCGACTGGTCGCCATTTTTCCAGCGTTGTTGGCCATGCTGGTGTTCCCTTTAGTATGGCATGATGCAACTTTCGCATCCTTCGCAGGTGGTAGCTTACACCTTTATCTCTTTGGTCTTTGCAAGGTGGCAATGATCCTTAGCTATCAGTGTCTTGATCGCAACGGCCACCGGCATAAGGCATGTGAAGATGGGTGTTTTCTGCCGCACTTGTAATATCTTGTAATGCATTTGTCAAAAACTCCAGGTGGAATATGGTGGAATAATGTGGAATACTAGTTTGGACTCCTGGGGTCATCTTCAGATCTTCGTTTTGTCTCCCAGGTGGTTCCAGAGCACTTTCGCCAACGATGATCGCAGCGACCATTCTCATGACCATGACGCCTCGGGCTGGAGGTCCGAGCGTGCGAAGGCAGTTCCCAAAGTGCTGAGATTTGCAAAGACAACCAGCTTCAAGGAGCGAACAAAAGTGTAGAAATTTGTGCTTGATGACTTGATGAATCTTGATTACTTGATTGACTATAGTTGATGATGAACCAAGAGTCGTGACAGATTCTGGTTGGGCTGATCTCTGGTGACAGACATGTCTATTTTTTTGCATGGAGAAATAATTGTTCCATTTAGATCCATTTAGGCTAACCAAGAGCCATGGCTATGGTTAAGATGTGACGTTGAAATCCGTGCAACAGCGACATTAATTGTAGGGCTTCGCACACCTGCGATGCCCCAAGGGTTGTTGTTGTGGTGGTGGTGGCGGCGGCGGTGGTGGTGGTGGTGTGGTGCTGCTTCTGTGCATCTTGCAACCATCTGACTACACAGGTTTTTTTCTTATTCTTTTAGTAGCCAAAAATTGTCGAATAGGTTGTGGTTTCACGTTTTTTTGAGACGTTCGGAGCCAGAAACACGCTAGATACCGATGTTTTTGGCGCCTCGGAAGCCCAAAACCACGGTATTTCCGATGTGTTTTTGCCAATGATAGCAAAAAACATGCTATTTACATCCCCCTTGACTGTACCTGTATGGAATGGAAGAACCCATTCCCCGTATGAAATGGAAAAACTAACATCATTTCATACACGGCCCATCTTGGAAAACCGGGCAAAAAACCCTTAAATTTTGGTGCCATGTTGCACCCCTCCATTTCATATAAAACGATGGTAATTCCATTGCATACAGCTACATTTTTCTTTGGAATCATTAGTCCCAAAATCGGCATTTCCATAATATAAATATTGTTTGCTTTACTGTTTTTAATTATTCTTATGTGGTCCTGGAATACGGCTACTATAATATACAAGTAATATGGTAGAATGTTTGAAAAGTGATTGTGGATAAAACATACCAAAAACATATATATATATATATATGTATAAGATTGTGGATAATAACCACAAATAACCTACATAACCCATAAAACAACATATAACCCATATAACCACATATAATCCATATAACCAAGTATAAACGTGACATTTCTCATGTTCTCGTTGTTTCCCCGTGTTTGGTTACCCGTTGTGTTACCCCGTTGTTTTGTCCCGGTGTGAATCCCATCGTGTTGCCCCGTCCCTGCCGGGTCAAAGTCCTCGAGCCATAAGAAGTGTATAAAATGGATAATCTTCTATTGTTTCTGTATTTCGTGTTTCAAATACTGGACTTTTCATGATTATTCCATTTTATACACCGAAATGTGGCAGATTTACCCCACATTTCGGTGTGTAAAATGGAATAACCATGAAAAGTCTAGTATTTGAAACACGAAATACAGAAACAATAGAAGATTTTCCATTTTATACGCCGAAATGTGGGGTAAACATATATGGAAGACGTTCCATTTCATACAAGGGGAATTTCACAAACACCTATGTTGTTTATAAAATGGATTGTTCTGGTATGTTAACGTGTCCGAACATAAACAACAATTTTATCTTAAAATATCTTAAGATACCTTAAAATGACCCCCTCAAAAAACAACCAATTCCATAATATACAAGTCAAATTTTCTTGGTTTCAAGAGTTCATTTTTTGCCATTTCCATAACATACTGGCGAAGCATTTCTTTGTATATCCGGCCTGCTAGGTAGTACAATGGTGGTATTCCATAATATATAAGCCCAAAAAAGGATCCATTCTATACAAATATTACTGGACCCAACCATTACATAAACCAGTTTTTTATGGAATGGTGGGTCACGGGTTCCTACCCATCAATCAAGGGGGATCTATTTACAGTGTTTTTTAGACAGCACCTAGCAAAAAATCTAGTATTGTAGTTTTTGCATGCCAAAGTGACAAAAGCACTGTAAATTATAGTGCTTTAGCCTTTGGCATGCACCAGAAAACATCACACATTTACCAACAACAAGTATCCAAAATAGACTTTCCAGAGCAAGCACCGTTTTTAGTCATGTTGCGTGAGCTGGGATAGCAAGCAAACTTTCTGTGTTCAGTCTATATGGTTGGTTATTGGCAAGGGTGCAGACTGGTAATTATTGCATTTGGATTGATTCTGATGTTCATGTCCGCAGCCGATGCATTGCGCCGGCAATGTTCTCAAGCATTTGGCGTGTCCTCCGCCTCCTGCGCCACCAATGGCTTGGCTCAGCTGTGCGAGTGCTGCAGGATAAGTGGGTACATGGAGGACAACTTGAGAGCATAGAAAGAGGATAATGTATTCACCACGGCTGCAACGTTTGTACCAGTCTTTGTCAACTGAAGCCCAAGCACACATCACAAAAATTGGGATCACCTCTGTGCTTGAAACTAACGCTTGGGATTCTGTTGAAGAGTTCGTGCCCTCAACCTCGTTTACCGCGGGCCTTGTGGCCGAACTTCACGACTTCTGGCTTGCTTCTCAAGGCGCTTGTGCCATGGCAGCCAGACGAGCAGTGCTGGATTTTGCAGCGGCGCCTCAGCAGCAGAGAGTTGAACATGTTGACCTATATCTGCATGCAGCCGCGCAAAACTCTTCAAGTACGAGCTGCGCGCCAGCCCCGCTTCAGAGCTTCTCGACCACCAAACGCCGCCGATTGAAGGCAGCCTCTGTCAGCGAAACTGAATTGCATTTGCAAAGTTTGCAGCTTCGTGAGCGAAAGGTGGTCGAAGCTGCTGCTTCTGAGTTGTGGGCCTTGTTTCTGGAAGTAGGCGCGCACGGCAGCCAATGGTCGGACTATGTTGCGCTGACTCCCTCTGACAAAGAGCAGTTTGCAGCAATGTTTTTTGATGACATGTGCTTGGTGGCCCTTCCAACTTTACAAGCTGCGCTTCGTCTCATGCGTAGGTGGCGCCGACACTGTGCTGAGTCCAACATTGAGCCTTGGAAGCCTTCGAGTATACACGTTGCTATATGGCTCCGCTCTTTGCAGGAACGGGGACCTACTGCCCCACATGGAGCGTATGCGACTTTGAAATGGGTCGAAAAGAAGTTGGGCTTTGATTTTCACAGTTCCTCTGACCGAGTGCGTGGCCAGTCAGCGGTTCCTCAGTGTCACACGGAAAGCCAAGCGAAACCACTGACCTTGTCAATAATTTTGGGCCTGGAATCTTTAGTTGGCAGTCAAAACCATGCTGTCGGCGCCTTGGCCTTGACATGGCTTCTTCTGACATATGCTGTGTTGCGGTTTGCGCGCTTGCAGCGTTCCGTTATTTTACGGGTGCTGGACAACGGCATCGCTGCCAAAGCGTCTCTGGGCAAGAGGCGTAGCCAAGGTAGACGCAGACCCTTTGAATGGCGGGCGCCTCGTTGGGGAGTGACAGGATGTGATCTTGGTTCAGCAGTGCACCAGCATCTGGCTCGCAATTTCGGTGGCGAAGTGCAGCCTGGTTTCTTTTTGTCAGATTTTTCACCTCCAAGGTGCACATTGCAGACTGCCACTGGGTTTTCTACTAAGTCGATGTCCTTAGGTAGATTTTCGCGGTTGAGCCAGCACATGTTTCAGCAGGCGCCTTTTGGCCTTTCAGCCATGGATGCAGCTCTCTTGACTTCTTACTCTGCTCGACGGGTTCTCCCAACCATAGCCGAACTCGCTCGTTTGGATCCCCATGAAATGTTGTTGGTTGGTGACTGGAAAGGAGCGCGTAAAGAGTGTCTTGACATCAGCATGCCAATGCGGTATGCTGACCAAAAACTCCACACTAGTTTGTGCGTGAAAACTGAGCTTGTGTGCATCATACAACATGTTTCTCGGCATGGTCACGCCACTGACACTTGGGATGGACTAAGTGCAAATTTTCCACCCCGTCTGGAGTCAAAACGGTTAGCGTCCCATGTCCTCCAGAATGGACGTGCTGCAATCTATTTACCGGAAGATGGTGGCCTCTTGCCTGATCCAAACCGTGACCTTGATAGCTCATCGGCGTCTCCTAGCACTTCAGGCAGTGACTCTGATTCCTCTAGTTCAGACACCCAAGCCGAGGAGTGTCATGAAATACAATGGCTCTTAAGCAAAGGCCGTCAGGGCCATTTACATGTTTGCAAGCCTCTTCAGTCTCAAACAAAGCGCTGGCACACTCACTGCAACCGAGGGCTTAAAGACCCTGACGTTGGTGTAGGCCTAGAAGATGCTTTCAGTACGGGACGGCCGTGGTCTCCGCGATGTTTCAACCATTTACCTAAAAAGCTCCAGAAGGCATGGCAAGACATGGGCCACAGTGGTCGCTAGCCTTTTCTTTTTTTTCCCCATTCTCTGCAGATCAGTGGTGCCAGTTCAATGGGAGCTGCAGCAGTTCACAGAGCATATTGCATGCCACTGCAGTTTGATTGCCGCACCACAGGAAAAAGAAAGCGTGAGCGCCTGCCTGCTTGACAGTTGAACTCAAACAATCGACAAAGCCATAATGTGTTCAGTCTATATGGTTGGTTATTGGCAAGGGTGCAGACTGGTAATTATTGCATTTGGATTGATTCTGATGTTCATGTCCGCAGCCGATGCATTGCGCCGGCAATGTATATTTTTCACTGACAACTTAGGCACCTTATCGGCGATGATCACTGGAAGAGCACGTATTGCTGATTTTGGTGCTGTAGTTCATGCATTTCATTTGAGCGTTGCCCGGTTGCGATCGACCTCTTGGTTTGAACATGTTGAATCCCCAGCCAACCCTGCAGACGGGGGTTCGCGAGTGGGAGCTGCTTGCCCAATTGCTCGCCAACTTGGCATCCAGTTGCATGAACGCTCATTTCCAAACTGGCCCAAAAATGTAATGAATGCTGACCCATCCATTTGGCTATCCTATCTTTTTTCTAAATGAGAAGCCATCTCGATGTTCGCTCTCTGAGATCTCGATTGCTTTGTTTCGAGACGGCTTCAGCTGAAGCTGCAGCAGTTCACAGAGCATATTGCATGCCACTGCAGTTTGATTGCCGCACCACAGGAAAAAGAAAGCGTGAGCGCCTGCCTGCTTGACAGTTGAACTCAAACAATCGACAAAGCCATAACTATTTACTTTCCTACGGCCAAGGTACGCCCCAGCAAGCTTGGGGGAGCTGTGGGAGGGCACATGCCAACAAAATGGTCAGAGTGAAAAGAAACAGCAGAAATACATGCTGCGAAAGCCACATGCCCTGTGATTCATTCTGTGTCAAGCGCTGATCATGGGGGTTCCTATAGCCAAATGGCATAAATGGCAAAAGGGCGGGTCATCCCGACCACGTCATGGCGATGTGGCACGGGCAAGGTCTCCCAGCTATTTCAGTGCGTAGCACAATGTTGTGTGATGTGATATACCCAGGTATTGTGAGTGGAGTTTGTGTCCCTGAGTTCAGCAGCTATCCGAAGGGTGAAATAGCTTACATAGGAAGCTACGGCCTTCATTCGGACATGTTGGAGCGAAATTTAGGCACGGCATCAAGCCTTCTGGGGGCCTTTGTGTCCTGACACATCCTTGCCATTGCTGCTTAACCCTCAAGTTTTGGTTCATGGAAATGGTTTGCTGTCGAAGCAATAGGTGTTGAGCTCAATATTTGGCTGCTTCTGGTTTCATTTAAAATTTAATCTTCCAATCTTAGTTGGTCACTGTTTCAATTTTTTCAATTATGGAGGGAATGGTTGTGTGATGGGCGCGAGGTATAACCAATGTCTAGATTTTTTGTTGGGTTGTTGTGTCTTGTTGATCACAAAAAGAGATAAACCCAAACTTGGACCGCAGACCCTGGGGAACAAGCGACAACATGGGGAGCACACATGCAGCAAACATGATAACGACATGCTCCTTGGGCAGCGTGCCTTCCTTAAAAAACCATCCCCAAATCAGGGTCCCGTGGGTGGGCTATGATTGGGAACATGCGCCATACAAACATCAAAAGTGACATTGGCATGATTTGTAGCTTCCAGAATTGGAAGCCACAAATCAAAGAAAGGAGACCATGAAGGAAGTATTTTCTTCTTCCATGGGTCCATGGGTCATGTTATCAAGACCCCAGGAACCAAACCCGAAACTCAAAACGGCTTCTACAAAGTCTGCCAAACGTCAGTAAGTCCCATGCCTGGTCCAATCTTGTGGGGACGAAGGCGCAGAACTGAAAAACCGAGAATGCGCTTGGGGAAGCAGTCAACAAAAATTGCTGCTGAGTCTGAGCAGGGCAGGGCATGTAGGTCACAGCACAGAAGGTGTATGTTAATACGCATTTTAATGATCGTGGACGGAGAGTTGTCAGGCTTTGTCAGGCTTTGCTCTGCAGGTGTACGTTGAGTTAGATAACAGTTAGATTTGGATAGTCGCATTTTTGCCAGCATTCCACAATATTCCACATGTTGCTATGTACATGGTTCCCAAGGGATCTATATATATATATATATGGTTCCCATGTTAATTAAAGTGTTTTCGTAGTCTTGGCTGTTAGCAATGTCATAGAATGGCCTGCTCACTGGGTGCTCGTTTTTTGGATGATGAACTTGGCCCACAGGATCTTCGTTAAATATTCTTCAGAATATATCTACAATAAGATATATGTAGAGAAAAACACGCACTGATTTAATGCATCCCAATCATTCCGTATCATTTTGTGTATGTCATACGTTATATCAAACGTTAGCCTGTTTAAGTGCCTGTTTCTGTCAATTTATACGTATAGAGTCTCTTTCTCCAAAACACAGCCCCATACATAGCACCATACATAGCCCTGATGCAAGCCCAGATTGATGTCAAAACTGTTGTTGACATTCAATTTCCCAAGAAAATTTTCACCCTACCTTCGTGGAAACTTCCCAAACTGCCGAAATGTCCAAGAGCAGCAATGCCCTTTTTGCAAAGCCAGCTGCGCACAGTTGGAATTAAGAGCGCTGCAGGATTAGTCCAATGGGAAGCTTTAAAACAAGTTTGAAGTTTAGGCAATTGTTGAGTTTGGACATAATATGTTGCGATATGATTCATATGATGTGATGGTATGACTTGACCTATACGACTTATGACATGATGCAAACTGACATGATGCAAACTGACATGGTATGTTATTTCGGTACGATTTGTGTCTCTGTGTCTATGTCTATATACCGTGGAATTACCATAGCGTGGCAACGTGGAAGGGCTCCGTGATTTGATGTTGTCATGATGAAAATATTTGATGCGATACATGGTGATAAGATGTGGTATGATGAAATGATACTCAAGTAGTATAAAATGATATGCGTTGAAAATGAAGCGAAATGATTCAACATGCAATGATGTTTTAAATCACATGATGAATGATTAAGATATCAGATATCCGTAAAAGAAAACAAGTTGAAAAATACTGTTCAAATAAATACAGAAAAACACTACTTTGGGATGCACAAAGAACGGTTCAGAACGGTTCTCTGATGAAAACTTCACCCCTCAAAGAACGGTTCAGAACGGTTCCGTTTCCGGAACGGTTCAGAACGGTTCAGAATGGTTCTGAACTATTTGCGTTTTTTGGGTACTTTCTACAAAGAACGGTTCAGAACGGTTTCCTGGCAGATGTCTTGGGGCGTGTTTTGGCACATGTTTTTTGAATATCAAAATTTTAAGTTGAAAACGTGGTCTTAAAGGTTTGAAGTTATTAATGAAAGGGAAGGGCAGTTTCTATTTTAAAAAATGTCGCAGCAAAGAAAAACGTCTCACACTGTGTAAGTCGTAAAAGAGAAGTCGAATATTAATAAAAGTAAACTAAACATAACAATCACAATTTAATTTATGCATTAAATTGTTCAATTGATATGATGCACGACAATCATCGAAAACTGCCAAGGACTAATTAAAAAACATGTGGTTTGGCTGTTTGATCATGCGATCTACAGCAATGTAAATAAGGGGGGAGCGTTTGACAAGGTGCGAGGAGCTTGGCAGCTTCAATGTCAAATTTGTCCAACTCCCTCGCATTGAAATAAGCTAGGAGGCACAAAGCCTTGGAAAGGCTCAATCCCCAGCTCTGATTTCACAGCCTTTTTTTTTTTTGTGTTGTAGAGTCCTTCCTCTTCAGGTCCTTCCCAGGTGGATTGAAGCCGCGAAAATCATTTAAGACAACAATAAAACACACAAAAAACTCCCAAAAGCTGGTCCAAACGTGCCCAAACACCATGCGTAAACACCCCCACAAGAGTTCAGAACCGTTCTGAACCGTTCTGAACCGTTCCTGGGGGGAAGTTTTGGTGGCAAAGTGAAACAAAGTGCAGCCCAGAGTGCAGCCCAAAGTGGGAACCAACCCCATGTCACAGAATCAAAAAGGATAATCCTGACTATCCTTACTGGTTCAAATTTCCATATCAGCTCTGAGAAGTTCTCAACATGTAAGGTGCGCCCAAGCGCCTTGGCCGCCACTGTTGGCGCCTGCAAATCGTCCAAATCCAAACGATCAGCGCAATAGCCCCAGCCTAAGCTACATCCCCCGCACGACCAGCCAATGGAAGAGGTCACTCGAAGCAAAGGCAGTTTCCTGCCAACGCTGGAGAATGATTGAAAAGAGCAAATTTTGAGATAATCATAGACTCAAAATCAGAATCGTTATAGCACACAAACAGGCGTCAGCAAGTAATCAATGTCAGTTGTCATCACAGTATCCAGCCAAGAAAAGTCATTGAAAAATGAACATATTCTTGCCAATGCGCAGAAGTATGTTTTACCGCCGTGCTACGCCTAGCTCAATCTTGGCCTGCTCTTTGCAGCTATGGATCAATCCGGAAGGTGACCAGATTCCCGGCAATGCACCGTGATGAAATGGACCATATTCGAAGTTGTCCTTGTCATAGATCTCCTGCTGCACACCAACTATATAGCAACGGCAGATTCCAAGTGCCAAGCATTGGGGGGGCGCCGTGCCCATGAAAAGGAAAGAGGTTTCAAGTTGCCTAAAGAAACATGTCGGAACTTCATTCAGCCAGTCTAGACATCAAACCATCCAACACTACCTTGACACCACGTCCTCCACACTAGACAAGTCTCTGAAAACTGCTACGCGTCTTCGCGTGCAACTTCAGATGGTGCAAACGTTGATGTAGCAGCAGCTTCCTTGCATCAAAGGAGCTGACGGGAAGTGGGAAGAGCGCCCCAACCACTGTACAGCACTCTCACAGACTCCCTGCCCAACGTAATTGCAATGTATGGTATGACCATTGCAGTGAAGTTCAAAAAAATGCCACCCGGTGTCAAAGTGGCAAAAAATGACTTGCTACTAGATGCCTGGGGCTGGTTCATCATCACTACTGCCGTGCAAGCGCTTCATGGCAATAGCCCCCGGTCAAGCATCAAAATCAGGTCGTCAAAAATGCTTCGTGAACTCAATAAGTATGTCACCATGCGGTAACAAAATCCAAGTCTCAAGCAAAAAACACCTATTCCATGAAATCATTGAAATCACCATGATCAAGCCAAAACCCTATGGGCCGATGGCCCTCGATGACTATGCTCAAAGTGTGGCACTGGCGCTCCAACATGTTGTCCAAGCAGACTTGGGTCACCTGACTCAAGAGGTTTGTTTCATACCAAGTTTGATTGTGCACGCCAAGGCCTGAGGTGAACCCTTTTTCAGACCCAACATGGGTCTTTAACATACATTGGGGCTCCATTTGGGGCTGCTCATGGGCTGCCCCCTGGGCTACCCCCTGGGCTCCACATTTTGCATACGGACATGGCAACAGACAAACAGGCTAATGATTGATATAAGTCATACGTATATAAATAAATAAATATATATATTTTTCTCTCTCTCTCTCATTTTGCAAAAATGTTGACATACATACATACATACATACATACATGCATGCATGCAGACAGACATACAGACATACAGACATAGATACATATACGTGCATATGCTATAAATGATGCCACCGTGGCAGGACGAGTATCTACGGCCCTTGCCCCGCGCAGTTGACTTGCGGGAGGCGCCCCCTGCGTGGCTCATCGGCTGTGACTTGGTGGCTTCAGACCCCCGAAATGAGATTTTTCTGATGGGAAACTCGGATAATTACCCCAAAATGGCTATGGTTTGGTGTTTTTTAAAGAAGGATACATGAGGATGAACCATATGGAATGGAATTTTGGTCTTTAAAATTGTTTGAGATAACCCCAAGTAGTTATTCAGATTTTTCTGTGCCCATTTAAAGATGATGTGCCAAAGTCATTCAAGATTAAGTTTTTGGATCCTATTTGAAATTTCTTTTGTTTGAAGTCTTTGAGATTGGAATCCATTTTACCTCATTGGTTTTCACCTGGGAATTATGATCCGCGCTAATCAGCCGATGAATCAATTCCTGCAGGTATTGACTGTGAGTTCGACTTAGATGAGATGGATTTGGTCTGAGTTGCTTCACCAAGGACTTCATCATCTCTGCACGTTTAAACGCGTGCTGCGTATAGATAGGGTTGCACTCAATTGAGTGAACCTTTATATCATACGATTAATCTTTCATTTTTTCTGTAAAGACTGACAGATTGGCCAGCCTAAATGATTTTGGTGCCGGGAAATCCATATGTTTGAAGCATGTGGATTGATGGGCTGCCTGCTTTGAATGGGCAAAAGAGTTTACTCTTTCAATTGCAAAGAGTATATCCCATGCAGCAGGCCGGAGGATTTTTATTATGGGACCTACAGAGCAGATAAACATGGAATTGTGCTGCTGGGTGCACTGGTGCTGGTGCTGCTCTACCGATGGAAACCCAGTGATACGTGATTCCCAACCGGTGAGAAATCTTCATCAGCCTTGTGTATGCCAGAAAGCAACGGGACTCAATTTCTCAATTTTCCCCATGAGTCCCTGGAGATGTCATCCGAAACGAATGGAACCGGTGGATACCGTAGGAACCTGTTGGCTCAGATCCCGCCGGTGAATCGGCGGCCAGGCCCGACCAGGCTATTGCTGACTGATATCTGTAGTTTATATTAGTTTATGATAGAAAAAACATAGAAAAACTGTAAAATATGGTTAAAATTATGTAGATCTGTAGCAAATAAGTGGAAAAGACACCTGGGTTTCCAAAGACAAGTTCTTCATCCAAAGTGTTTCAGCTCTGCTGCACAGGCATGGGGACGGTCATGGAGGAGAGGGTGAAAAAGATGCTTGGGGGCAACCTCAAGCTGCGGCCTCAGAATCTTCGGATCTCATTTTGTCGATTCAAATCTGATATTTGAACTTTGTTTCATAATGTTTCATATAATCATTTAATAATCCATATATAGATATCCATAGATATCCATTAGATATCCATAGTTTTGCTTCGATTTTCCTAATGTCAGTTACTTTCTTGTCCCATTTTCGAAAAAAAGTCGGTGCTTGGGGATGCCTCGCAAGTCAACCCCGGCAGGCCAGAGATGAAAGCCCTGATGCAAGACTTGGGACCCGACTTCAAATTCCCTGAGTGGAAGTGCCCGGAGCCGATATCGATGGATATGGGGTTGATTATGGATTGATTGGTGATTTCAAGACATAGTGACATTGAGATCATTGAGATTGCTGTGATCTGCAATTCATGTCCAATTGTCAAGTTTGATGACCATTATTAATGTCATTATTAATGCATCACCTGTAGTTGGTGACTTCAAGGTCCAATTGCCGAATTAGAATTGACATCAATTGACAAAAGCTGCACGCAGGTATCGTATGAACAAGTTGGACTCCTGTAGTAGTGAGGCACAAAGCTCCTGGCGCCGTGATCACCCAGATTTGTGAACTGAACATGCTTGGAACCAGCCCGCACCGAGGGGTGATTTTGTACCCATATTTCTTAGCCAAGAAATGCCAAGATTTAACATGTTGCAGACCGGAAGATTTGAAAGTCACCATTTCTGGCCAGCATTTTGCCCATCTCCAGCCAGGATGGAGTCCAATTCGAGGGTGCTGGATATGCAGCGGGGCCATGCTGGCGAGCATTGAAAGTCAGGGCTTTCCACAAGTTTGACTTCAGCAAAAATCATCAGATGTGTCTAGTATCGTTTAGTCCTCAGACCTGCTTGGATGATCTTGGATGGGTGGTTTGGAATATCTTATATTGAATTATATTGCCACCACTGGCTGTGATGATTGGCACCACTGGACTAGAAGGCATGAATGGACGGATGAACACCCCAAGCAGTGGATTTTCGCAAACTTCTTGCCAGTTCATATATCATGTTTAGATTCATATCCCCTTTTTTGGCGGTGACTTTCTCGTTGGCATCCATCATATGATATGGATTGGGTTGAAGCACCAAAAGCACCCAGATTATCAATGTTTTTCAATATAATATAATATATATATATATTAATATAATATATATATATATTCACAATGGGAAACAACCATTATCAACACATCTTTGCAATTCATAAAACCATTCTGAATAATTGATGATATGTTGATATTCAGTTGGTCAAAAGGTTGGTTTCCCCAATTCATGTGTTGCCACTGGCAGGCCCAGCGGAACAGCATCTGGAGGCTCAGCATTGTCCTCAGTGCAACTGCTGGCGCCCAGCTTGAAGATTGGGGGTTTCCAGCCATCAATGGTCCATTTGAGTGGGCGTTTTCAGAACCATTTTAGGGCTTCAGGATGTTTAACGGGTAGCATCCAAGATCATCCAAGCAGGTCTTAGAGGATTTAGATGGAATTTATGCCCATTTCTGATGGATCAGGTGATATCTGAGAGTGTTGGCTCAGGCTCCATCATTGGCAGGAACTATGCCCAAGCAGTCCCTGCTGCACGAACTAGTCCTGCACCCAGAATACCCAGATAACCAGTTTGGTGCAGAGAATGAGCTTCAGTTTGAACGCAATGAAGATTCAAGAAGTTCAAAACGTTTCATGCTGTTTAGCCTACTTGACTGAACATGCCTCAAGCAAGCTGAATTTTGGATAAAGAGAGAAACGCCCTGCATAGCTCTGAACAACAGGTTGGGATCGATCGAATGGACAAAGTTGCCAAACAACTCGACAAAGGCCAGCTTGCTTGGAATCCACTCTCAATTAGTGCTCACCTTGCATTTGACAATATGATTTCTTTGCTGTGTCCATCACATGGGTGCAGATGCGATTGCTTGACCCCAAATGGGATGGTTTACAATAAACAAGACCATACTCGTACATTGTGGATTTTCGAGATTTGAAGCCCTTCAATCTTTGACCCCATACCCACATGTTATGTCATATTTTGTTGAACCCCTTGGCAGATAATGTTTTTTTTTCCGCACTGCAGGAAGCGATGTGAACATCTTGGACTGTATGGGTCCAGCACTTGGCCTTGGTGCATCCAGATGCGTAGCGTGACGGTTTTCCAATGGACCTAGGTGAAACACCCTTATTTTGGGCAGTCTCCGGAGAGGCCTGGGACATGGCCAGCTATGGCTGAGTCTGAGCTGAGTCTGATGACAGGCTGTGGACTATTTGGTGCGAGAAGGAGCAGATATCGAGCATCGAAACACGTCCATTGCTGAGTTTTTCTAATGTTTTTTTTCCAAAAATTACTGTGTTGCATGGGCACGTCTCAAGCTACAGACTGGAAGACAGTGAAACTAGTTGTTGGAATCAACCGAAGACGGAAGTACTCACCATTTTGCCTGAGGCTGTCCAACTGCTCGGCTTTCTACAAGTTTGCCTGCCAGGACAGTGGCACGTGTTAAGCTTGGAACTTTCATCACTCTGACCGTTGCATGTGCAGAGGGCCAGCATCGGCCTTTGAAAGCGTTGGCTCGGTACTTGAAGAAGGCGTTGATGCCAATGGTTGTGGACTGCCAGTATGACATGGACAGCCAAGTTGCTAACGTTGTCTCATTTCCACTGGCATGTTTGAATTGCAAACATACTTCTGGGCACAATGCCCTGAGCACCCTAAGCCTTGGTAGTTCAACCATTTCTGTTGCTTTGTGCTTTCCATGACCGAAATCTGATGCAAAATCTGCTTGGGTCTTGAATGTTGGCCCATGCCCAATGGTAAACCCAGTCATTGCAGGCCGGGGTTTTAGAGAAATACGTCGACGTGGCGGCCTCAAATGTGATGCACATGGCTTGTCTCCAAACGCTGACGGGTTGTGACGGGTTCATCCAGGAAGCATCTTCCATCACCAAGAGAAGCCCTCTACATGCGGCAGCTCACAATGGATTCGTTCAGACGGTCACCAGACGTGTTTACAGCTTTTGCGAAGCCATATCAACAAGAGTGCCATTGGAATAGGGATTTTTGCACATTTTTACAACGGCTTATGATTTTAACATATTTTAACCATCAGCCACCTGTGTCACCTGAGGACCCAATGTAATTTGTTCGAATGATCTCTGTACCATGGTCAAAGCATGGTATGTGGTTTATGGTCATCCATCTCGGATAGTGGGAATCCTTATAGAGGCTTCACTAATTCCCAAACTCTACAATGACAATGACAATATAGACTCTACAACCTGTAGCCAGGTGAAAGAGCTTTTGTCCATGGGAGCAGACACAGACGCCAAGGACAAGCTGCTGATTTCGACGGGTTTCGACCAAAAAAAAAGCAGTTCCACGACTTGACCGTGAGCGCCAGGACTATCTGGGAAAAACTGCCCTAGATTTGGCCAGAAACCGTGGATTTGACCAGGCCTCTGATTTTTCTTTCGAAATGTGGGCTTCGACGTGTCCGAAATGACTGCAGATTGGCGTCTATATCTTGAATCTTCACTGCCTCTCTTGAGAGGTGGTGAATCTCTTGGAATGAGAGACCCTTGCCTCTTCCTTGCGAAAAAGAATTGAACGCCAGAGTATGGGAGAGCTCTTTTTGGTCACTGCAGCAATGCGCATACCCAAGACCAGTGGTTTCCCCATCAAAAATGTCAACTTTCCAATGATTTTGGGGTCCTCTATGGCCCATTGGCTTAGGAAGCCTTCAATTTGCCAGTTGGATCAATTGGAATTTCCACTTTTGGCTTACAGCTGTGGGCTTCAGCGCACAGCTAGCAGCTATGGCGCTCTCTTTGTTTCGTCTACCTCTGCGCGTCCCAGACTTAGCATTGTTTAGTTGTGCATCCCAAGCTTGATGTTACTCCCAGCAAAATATGCTGAATTTCATGACCGCATCATGATCTATCTTTTTTTTATGGATGGAGAACAACAAATATATTTGATATGTATGCCCTAACTGTCTGAGACTATTGTTTTTATAGTCTTTCGGTAAAGACAATTTTTGGTATATGAAAGACGATAAGGGCTCATGTGGGACCATGCATGTGTGCCCTACGCAGAGGCTCAATGCTTTTCTGACCTGAAGATTATGGATTGTCATGAATTTGAATGGATTCGACATGAGTCAACTGGAAGCGATATAGCAATTATAGTTAACATGTGTTATATTATTAAAGGGCTCCGCCCCCTGCCGCCGACCCCTGGGCATATCTCCCATTGAGCAAAACAGCAGGGCCCTGAAGGACGGACCGAGCCTCCGGGCAACGGCTCCCACTGCCTAACGTTGCTTTCTGAACCTACAAGAAAACTAGCTCTCTTCCAGCCGTCAAGGCTCACAAACGGCGCCCTCGCCACAGCAAAACAGCAGGGCCCTGAAGGACGGACCGAGCCTCCGGGCAACGGCTCCCACTGCTTAACGTTACTAACGTTGCTTTCTGAAGCTACAAGAAAACTAGCTCTCTTCCAGCCGTCAAGGCTCACAAACGGCGCCCTCGCCACAGCAAAACAGCAGGGCCCTGAAGGACGGACCGAGCCTCCGGGCAACGGCTCCCAAACTAGCTCTCTTCCAGCCGTCAAGGCTCACAAACGGCGCCTCTCGCCACAGCAAAACAGCAGGGCCCTGAAGGACGGACCGAGCCTCCGGGCAACGGCTCCCACTGCCTAACGTTGCTTTCTGAACCTACAAGAAAACTAGCTCTCTTCCAGCCGTCAAGGCTCACAAACGGCGCCTCCGCCACAGCAAAACAGCAGGGCCCTGAAGGACGGACCGAGCCTCCGGGCAACGGCTCCCACTGCCTAACGTTGCTTTCTGAACCTACAAGAAAACTAGCTCTCTTCCAGCCGTCAAGGCTCACAAACGGCGCCCTCGCCACAGCAAAACAGCAGGGCCCTGAAGGACGGGACCGAGCCTCCGGGCAACGGCTCCCAAACTAGCTCTCTTCCAGCCGTCAAGGCTCACAAACGGCGCCTCCGCCACGCCCAAACAGCAGGGCCCTGAAGGACGGACCGAGCCTCCGGGCAACGGCTCCCACTGCCTAACGTTGCTTTCTGAACCTACAAGAAAACTAGCTCTCTTCCAGCCGTCAAGGCTCACAAACGGCGCCCTCGCCACAGCAAAACAGCAGGGCCCTGAAGGACGGACCGAGCCTCCGGGCAACGGCTCCCAAACTAGCTCTCTTCCAGCCGTCAAGGCTCACAAACGGCGCCTCCGCCACGCCCAAACAGCAGGGCCCTGAAGGACGGACCGAGCCTCCGGGCAACGGCTCCCACTGCCTAACGTTGCTTTCTGAACCTACAAGAAAACTAGCTCTCTTCCAGCCGTCAAGGCTCACAAACGGCGCCCTCGCCACAGCAAAACAGCAGGGCCCTGAAGGACGGACCGAGCCTCCGGGCAACGGCTCCCAAACTAGCTCTCTTCCAGCCGTCAAGGCTCACAAACGGCGCCTCCGCCACAGCAAAACAGCAGGGCCCTGAAGGACGGACCGAGCCTCCGGGCAACGGCTCCCACTGCCTAACGTTGCTTTCTGAACCTACAAGAAAACTAGCTCTCTTCCAGCCGTCAAGGCTCACAAACGGCGCCCTCGCCACAGCAAAACAGCAGGGCCCTGAAGGACGGACCGAGCCTCCGGGCAACGGCTCCCAAACTAGCTCTCTTCCAGCCGTCAAGGCTCACAAACGGCGCCTCCGCCACGCCCAAACAGCAGGGCCCTGAAGGACGGACCGAGCCTCCGGGCAACGGCTCCCACTGCCTAACGTTGCTTTCTGAACCTACAAGAAAACTAGCTCTCTTCCAGCCGTCAAGGCTCACAAACGGCGCCCTCGCCACAGCAAAACAGCAGGGCCCTGAAGGACGGACCGAGCCTCCGGGCAACGGCTCCCAAACTAGCTCTCTTCCAGCCGTCAAGGCTCACAAACGGCGCCTCCGCCACACCCAAACAGCAGGGCCCTGAAAGACGGACCGAGCCTCCGGGCAACGGCTCCCAGTGCCTAACGTTGCTTTCTGAACCTACAAGAAAACTAGCTCTCTTCCAGCCGTCAAGGCTCACAAACGGCGCCCTCGCCACAGCAAAACAGCAGGGCCCTGAAGGACGGACCGAGCCTCCGGGCAACGGCTCCCCAACTAGCTCTCTTCCAGCCGTCAAGGCTCACGTCAAGGCTCACAAACGGCGCCCTCGCCACAGCAAAACAGCAGGGCCCTGAAGGACGGACTGAGCCTCCGGGCAACGGCTCCCACTGCCTAACGTTGCTTTCTGAACCTACAAGAAAACTAGCTCTCTTCCAGCCGTCAAGGCTCACAAACGGGGCCCTCGCCACAGCAAAACAGCAGGGCCCTGAAGGACGGACCGAGCCTCCAGGCAACGGCTCCCAAACTAGCTCTCTTCCAGCCGTCAAGGTTCACAAACGGCGCCCTCGCCACAGCAAAACAGCAGGGCCCTGAAGGACGGACCGAGCCTCCGGGCAACGGCCCCCAGTGCCTAACGTTGCTTTCTGAACCTACAAGAAAACTATAGCTATAGCTCTCTTCCAGCCGTCAAGGCTCACAAACGACGCCCTCGCCACAGCAAAACAGCAGGGCCCTGAAGGACGGACCGAGCCTCCGGGCAACGGCTCCCAAACTAGCTCTCTTCCAGCCGTCAAGGCTCACAACCGGCGCCTCCGCCACAGCAAAACAGCAGGGCCCTGAAGGACGGACCGAGCCTCCGGGCAACGGCTCCCACTGCCTAACGTTGCTTTCTCAACCTACAAGAAAACTAGCTCTCTGAGCTGTCTTCCAGCCGCCTGCCTAACGTTGCTTTCTGAATCGACAAGAAAACTAGCTCTCTGACCTGTCTTCCAGCCGCTTGTTGCTCCCTGGCTTCTTGTTTCTTGCTTCTCTGACCTGTCTTCCAGCCGCCTGCCTAACGTTGCTTTCTGAATCGACAAGAAAACTAGCTCTCTGACCTGTCTTCCAGCCGCTTGTTGCTTCCTGGCTTCTTGTTTCTTGCTTCTCTGACCTGTCTTCCAGCCGCTTGTTGCTTCCTGGCTTGTTGTTTCTTGCTTCTCTGACCTGTCTTCCAGCCGCTTGTTGCTTCCTGGCTTCTTGTTTCTTGCTTCTTGCCGCTTGTTGCCTGTAATTGCTTCTTGCTTCTTGCTTCTTCTTTCTTGTTTTTTTGCTTCTTGCCCTTGCTGTTTGTAATGACTTCTCTGACCTGTCTTCCAGCCGCTTGTTGCTTCCTGGCTTCTTGTTTCTTGCTTCTTGCCGCTTGTTGCCTGTAATTGTTTCTTGCTTCTTGCTTCTTCTTTCATGTTTTCTTGCTTCTTGCCCTTGCTGCTTGTAATGACTTCTTGGCCCTTGCTGCTGGTAATTCCTCCTCTGACGCGCTCCCCCTGCTGTCGGCAGGGGTCGGCGGATTATATGTAATACATATTTTTACACACATGTATAAGTATAGATAAACTATATATACACATAGGCGTAAATATATGGCATATTTTTCCGCATATATATATAATTTTCATTTTCTGTATACGTATCGCATATACATTATTTATGTATGTATTGCAAATTTACGTATATGTATTACATAAATATATATGTATATTCATTACATGTAAATGTAAATGTATTACATGTATATGTATGTGTATCACATATACATGTATGTATGTAATGTAATGTAATGTAACGTAACGTAACGTAACGTAATGTAACGTATGTACGTATGTACGTATGTACGTATGTACGTATGTACGTATGTACGTATGTAAGTATGTAAGTATGTAAGTATGTAAGTATGTATGTAAGTATGTAAGTATGTATGTATGTATGTATGTATGTATGTATGTATGTATGTGTGTATGTATGTATGTATGTATGTATGTATGTATATGCATATGTATATGTATATGTATATGTATATGGATACGGATATGGATATGGATATGGATATGTATATGGATATGTATATGGATATGGATATGTAAATGGATATGTATATGGATATGGATATGTATATGTATATGTATAAATATGTATATGTGTGTGTAAGTATATATATATATGTAAATATTAATATATGCAAAACTTTACTGTATACGTGCAAAATTCACATGTATGTAGGTTGTAAACTTACTGTTGAGGCGCACCTCAGAAATCTCATGCAAATTTGTTTTCTGTTTTTCACAGAACTTCCCAAGGTACAGTCAGCACAGTGCAGCGTAATGAGAAGGTGTGGAAATGCTTTCGCGGACACTGCGTAAGACTCATGCTTCCCAAAATTTGATTTCTCTGAAACGTGTTTCAAAGACAACTCATTTTTATGTATTTGTTTTATTATTATTATTTTATTATTATTGTTATTATGAATATTATTGTTATTTTTTCAAACCTCTTGCCTCTTGAAAATCCACTCCTGATAGAAATTTTGAGGATGTTTGTTTTTCATGTTTTTAACATGCATTGGTAGGTTCAACTGTACTGTCCTGATATGCACCGCCAGGTCCAGGAGCCAGGCAAGAGAAGTGGATCCTATTCGTATTTGACACCAGTCTGTCACTTTTTTTCTGGGTTTCCATAGTCATGGAGGTACCTAAATTTATGGATGGTCAAAAATGGAAAATCCGAAAATAACACGTATGATTTTGGGGTACAGTTTCCCTATTTCAGGAAACCGCCATATGTGTCAGTATTTGTGTCCGCTATATCCGTCAGTCTTTGTTTGTTTTTTTTTGGCAGGCCACAGACTCTTCACTTTCATTGGCGGACAACATGGCCTGGACCTTAAGAAACACCTTACTGTAGCTTTTGTCGCTTGGTGATTTTCTGTGGAAAGTAGAGCAGAAAAGGTTAGTGCCAGTAGCACCGGTTCTTGACAACTTGACCTGCCATGACCTGCCAATGAAGTGTGAAGATGGCTTGCCAAGCTGGACCAACCAACCAACCATGCTACCAACCCTTGTAGATGATTCGGAAGTCCAAATTCAGGTGCCCAGGGTCTGGGGCAGATCTGCGGAGTCTCGGTCTCAGTTATGAACATTCTTCTGAACAGATCCAAGGTCCAACAATTCCAACTTGTGATGTTCAAATACTGTAGATGCTTATAGCCTATAGATCACAACGAGGTGAACGCTCGAGGCATTCCGGATCACTGTCAAGATGTTGGCGCGACTGGAAGAGAGGCGAGCCCGACAGAGCTTGGGGAAGTCTGCGCTTGATGTCTCAGAAAGCCTACTGGCATACTGTAATTGAACGTCCCATACATGATGCATTGTGAGGTGCTGGCAGTTGCGACTGCACTGCTGACGGACAACAGAGTCTTCCTGCTGACAAGCTCTGTCTTGTACTCGGCAATGTTTCCACAGCCTCTTTGCGGTGCAACTTATGTGTGAAACTTTCTCGCTCACAACTGACAACATCTTGGCATATCTTGGCACTGAGCACTTCTTCGAGAAGCAGCTTCAACTCAGAAGAAAAACCCTCCATGTGTTTCACTCATCGCTCGGCCTTCTCATGTATTTTTCCCCAAATGCAAATCAGTGACTGTACCTTTGCAATCCTTTGCAAGTGACTCAAAAATGTCGCGGCAAACAAAAGATGCAGTGATTGAGATGCTAAAACAATTGAGGCAAATGGCGTTCCATACTACACCTTGGTGGGCTTGACGCCATGAGAAGTGACATCGACGCAAACGACGCAATAGCACAGCACGATCCGAGAATCACTAGCGGTTCTTAGACATTGCGTGATTCAACTGTGACTCTTGGTGCGCAGTGCATTTCATTCATCTCATTGCATATCCATCTTTTCTTCACTGTCTGAACCTTGTTCTTCATTTCATGGCACTGTCCAACCAGATAGCTCCAAAACTACCCCGATGCGGGAGCGTTGTAGCTCGCAGAAAACGAACAGGGTTGGCAAGCAGAAGCCAAATTACAACTGGCAGAAAACATGTTTGTCACAGCCTAGTGTATAGATACATATGTGGAAATGCCACATATCAAAAGATATTCTACAGACCGCACGACGCTCATTCTTGCTGCTAGCTGGTCTTCAAATATATGCCGTTCCTTGGCTCACAAAAATCAGGGCGAAGATGCTTGTTTGGAAACAGTGTCAGAAAATGTCAGAAACAACTACCGACAAGCTGAAGACTTTCGATAGGGCCTACCTAGCATTGGACTCCTATATACCCAGATTGTCTATGAGAAAGGCGAGCAAGAAACAGAACATAACAGACGATTAGATTAGATTAGAGGGTGATCTCAAGTTGTATCAGCTGCTAGCACTGCCAGCACCGTGCTATGGTGTGCGAAAGGGTGAGTGCAGATATCGCCTTCCTGCCGGGTGATAGTACAGCTTTGGGGTACTGCACACGCTGCACATGCTGCGAATCTCGTTGTTTGGTCTTTTCTACAGCGTATACCAGATACCTGTGAATGAAGCACCATTTTTGAGCGTAGATCCTGGTCTCGAAATAGACGACTTATCTACGGATGCCTTCGAGCAATCTTTCGAACTGGGCTATGCTCCGTTTTTTTTGCTATTTAGCGCCTGGCTGCTTGCTTACAAAAAGCTGCAGAAAGCACCTGGCACTTTTCAAAGTGAAAGTCCGGAGATCGGAGTTGCTCCAGCTGCGAAAGGCTCCCCCAAATTTTCCCCTCGCGAAGTTCCAGGACAGACCTGTCCGCCCCCCAAGGCTGTTCCTAAGTGCCCACCACGGGCCAAGGCCAAGGGGAAGGCGCCACCGCCCAAAGGAACTCCACCGCGAAAAGCTTCTGCCTCCAAGGCTGGTGAAGCGACACCCACAGCCAAAGCCGCAGCAAATCCCTTTGGAGCGCGCCGAGTTCGCTGGAGAACTTTGCAATCTGCCGCCGGCACCATTTTTGATGGCCTGGGAACAGGGCAGCTACGAAATGAGACAGCAAGGATGTTGAATGAAGTTTTCAGAGTCACACCACAAGGTCAGAGTGCCAAATCTTCCCCCTTCATTCCAAAAAGTAGCGGTGTGTGTTTGCTGAACCCAAAGCGTGCACAGCAACTGGCGATTGTTTTCCGACGTTCCCCAGTACCTTTGCAGAAACTTTGTTCAGCGCTTCTGGCATTGGACTTTTCGGTCTTGGGCCACCTGGGAGAGGAGGAAATTGATGGCTTGCTCCAGGCTTGGCCAACCTCCTTTGACTTCCAACTCGTTGAGAAATACAAAGGTCCCATTCAGGAGTTGCGAGATGTGGAACAGTGCATTAAGCAGATGTCTGCGGTTCCAAGAAGTGAAGCCCGACTGAAGCTTTTACGACTTTCCAGTGTCTTGGCTACGGTGCCACGTTCAGATCACAAATGAACATCCTTCATGTGGGTTTGCCATTCTTTAGTTATAGGAACAAGCACAGTATATCATCAATCTTGATCGATGTGCCTTCCTGACATCGCTGGAAGGATCACTAGATGGACTCGGTCACTTCCTGGAGCAGTTTAAGCTGTTGCGCTGCGCCTGTGAAGAGCTTTTGAACTCGAAGACGCTGCGACTACTTCTGGAGGAAGCGCTGACCATGGGGAACTACATCAATGGAGATGCAGGACTTTGACTTCTTTGGGCCATAGCTTTTTCTCACAAGTGTTTTCGTCCATCTCCACCAAAATTTTCACTCACTACTATTCACATATTTTCACCAACTTCCCTTTTTAATGCCATCTTGTCAACTGGTTGGCAGAGCAAAGATTTTGGGACACACCGCGAGTATCTCTGTTTAGGAGCTGGCTTTTCCCTGGATGCTTTCAGCCACCTGAAGAGTCTCAAAGGTGCTGCTGGGACCACCGCTCTTCATTGCCTCTGTGCCAGTTGTGCCCAGGATGTCTTCGGGGGAGGGCTTCTGGTTGGATATTGACAATGGGGTACAGCATATTTAAGGGCTTACGCCTGACAGCGGGGCGCCGGCAGAGAAACGGCCTGAAGTCAGTGAAGGGAGCATGTTGCGCTCATGTTGAGGCTATGTTGGCGATATCTGAGACCAGCCCGGATTGAAGGGCCGCCCTTGGGTCCATGTTGGGCGAGATTGGGCCAGGTTGGGCCTACCTTGGGCCCATGTTGGGCCTATGTTGGCTTATGTTGGCTCTATGTTGGTCCTATGTTGGCCTATGTTAGCCCTATCTTGGCCCATGTTGGCCCTGTCTTGCCCCTATGTTGGCCCTATGTTGGCCTATGTTGGCCACATGTTGGCCCATCTTGGGGCCTATGTTGAGGCTATGTTGGCTATATGTGAGACCATCTTTGCTGAAAGGCCTCCAAGATGCCAATTTTTCCTTTCCGGACCCCGCCGCGGACCCAAGAACCACATAGAAACAACGTTTTTTTTTTTTAAACTTTCATCAACAAAAAATGGGGGGGGCGCGGCGACCCCGGTATTCATATGAATATTATATATATATATATATTATATTCATATAAATGTAGATGTAACCAGATATAGATGTATTCATGTAAACGTATCTCTCTATATATATAATATAATATAATATAATATAATATAACATAATATACTTCAGGAGGAACAAAGTTTATGCTTCTTGACAGCTTGACAAAGCATCCATCTCGGTCAACCGCGGATCACATTTCCAAGTCCATTTCGTGTGGCAGGTGTGGGACGGTCAATTATCACCCTCTTTTAAATCTATAAGATTAAAAGTTTTTGGAGGGTGGAAACTCGACCGGGGTACGACAAAGCTCCATGCTAGGATTCTAAGGGGAAAGGGTGTGCAGAAGAAGAAACCAAACATGTTCACTGTCGGAAGCTCAACAAGCGCAACTTTTGTCCTACCAGTGTAATATAATATAATATAATATTATATGATATTATATTATATTATTATTAATGTATATATATATATACACAAACATACATAGGTTGGTCTGGCAAGGTGATACACAATGAAGCAATTTCCGCCCCATGCCATGGTTGGTCTATAGCATCCCCATTATATCCCCATCATATCGGTCGTGATCCTACAACATTGATGAATCATGATGAATCGTATCTCCTGACAGCATCACACAACCCTGGTATTTTAACACGCATAATCGGTGGTGATTAGATATGCTGTTAAATTTAAATATATCCCTTCTAGTACAATAATAGTATCTGCTAAACTATCCCCATGTCATGTCTTTACAGCTTCTCTGGCTTCAAAATTATGGTTTCTGAACTTCACGCACGAGAGCCGCTTGCGCGTATTCAGCCGTTGGGATAGATGTTTATACTCTCCCGCGCAGGGACCATGGCAGTGAAGGACGGAAAGGCGTGCAAGATCCACCAAAGGGAGGCGTAACGTCCCTTCTGGATCCGACAGAAAAGCTTTGAATCACAACCCAAACTGCAGCCAAAACACATCTGCCGGATGGGAAAACACCATGGCAGTGAAGGACGGAAAGGCGTGCAAGATCCACCAAACCGGACGCTCAACGTCCCTTCTGGATCCGACAGAAAAGATTTCAATCACAGTCCAAACTGCCGCCAAAACGCATCTGCTGGTTGGGTCAACACCATGGCAGTGAAGAACGGAAAGGCGCGCAAGATCCACCAAACCGGATGCTTAATGTCCCTTCTGGATCCGACAGAAAAGCTTTCAATCACAGCCCAAACTGCAGCCAAAACACACCTGCTGGACTGGAAAACACCATGGCAGTGAAGGACGGAAAAGCGCGCAAGATCCACCAAACCGGAGGCTTAACGTCCCTTCAGATCCGACAGAAAAGCGTGCCTTTTGGCTAGTGCCTAGCAAAAACATTGGTATTTTTCAAGGGCCCACGGTTGCATAATATCGCAAGCACATTCCAAGTGAGCTGGGCTGAACTGTGCACAAAGCAGCGGCCGTTTTGAAATGATTATTGATTGCACAACGGGGCTGAACAAAGTGGACCGTGGCGGCTGGGGGTGGTAGCGTGCGCCAAGAGTTTGGCAGGGTTTCTTGGCAAGACTGGCTGCGACGGGTGTCTTTGCGGCATTTTTTTGGCTAAATTCTTGTTGGATGGACATTGTGGACATGTGGGCGGTTGGAGCTGAGCAGTGGGTTTGGTGGGGCATCAGAGATGTGTTCGAGGCAGAGAGCTCCTGCGATTGCGCTTAACTGACTGTTTCAAGGGTGCAAGAGAAGGAGCCAGAACGTGACATGTGAGCATGTTGTACATTTTTTGACGGAGCCTTGTCGGGGGTCACGGCTTGAAATTCCAGCCTTGTTTCAATTTGTAGGAATGAAAGCACAGGCATGTTTAAACATGTGTGACTTTTGCCAAATGACACCGACAGTGAGCGACAATTCCGTCAGTCTTTGTTTGAAGGGCCCGCAGTACAGTGCCAGTGTGTGTGTGGCTCACAGATGCGAATTTGTATTTCATGACATCAGGTGCAGGCCGGTCATGTGCAGGGACATCCAGTTGGTTATAGCACTTGCGGTCTGTTGCCTTTTGCAATCATCTACACCACGACGGTGACCTGGCGGAGGGGACTGGCCCATGTTGGTCCTGGGGTCACATGGATGTTAGTAATCACATCAATACAAAATCAAAACAACATGCTATGTTTATTCTGATCTTATACTACTGTTGCTGGAGGGGGAGGCCAATTCTTGCATATTTGTTGTGTTTTGATTTCGAAATGTTTCGAGCTTCATCCAAGACAGCCCAAGTGAAAGTTGGGCTCAGGGGCTCAAATTAAAGACAGCTGAGAACCACAAAGTTGATGGGTTTTGGCTATAGACCATGACCTCATGGCCTTCCTTGGGTTGGAAATAGATGTGACTTTTCGCCATTTCGGGGACGCTACGTCCAGATAAATGAGGTTGTGGAGGTCACAGCTTTCTGTGGATCTTTCTTGGCTGAGACTGACTGGCTGCTCTGGGGCTGGGTCAGACGGTTGCATATCCAACGATCACGTCAAAAAGCAAAATTCGATTTGGATGCGCACTCATGTTTGGAAATATCCAGATAACAGACAGTTACGCTGTACAAGGCACATCATCCGGATGATGAGCGTGAAGAGACGTTGTTTTTGGAATGCAGTTTGCGTTTTGGTTCAGTGTTCGGATTCTAGTATAGCGCTCGTGTAGTAAGCATGGCAGGGTCGCCGCAGAAGAAGCCCCGTACGTCGCAAGTAGCCCTAGTGATGGTAGCGGTGAGCAAAGTGGCAGAGCTTGCTCAGCAAGGCGAGCACACAGACACACACTTGTTGAGCTGAAAGGCTTTTTGCTGCAATGTGGTGAAATTGCAACCAAGGATGGGAAGACAAGCTTCACATTCATCTTTGGTGACGAATCTGGAGTGTCTAAAGTGACTTGCTGGGACTCTGCGGCAACCAAGGTTGGTCCTTCATTGTTGGCTGCTGATGAGAAGTGTGAAACTGGTTGTCTTTCAGTTGGGCTGAACGATATTCATGTGAAGTGTGTGGGTGACAAGAAGCCGGTGGTGAAGCTGCAGTCGTCGCCGCGATCAGCTATCGGCAAGCCGGGAGAAGTGCTCATTGATCCAGCGACTCAGATGGTCATGGATTTCACAGTTCTGGAGTACAGCAAGCCGCAGTTTGTCACGCATCTTCGTGGCAAAGTGGTCGAAGTGGGCGGCTTTGGGTCCGCAAGTTCTTCTGGAAGTTTGCTATGGCGGATTCCCACATGTTTCTGCCTCTTCTGTACTACTGCCTTTTCAATACCTTTGCCTTTTCACTGCCACATCTTCGCCCCATTTCGTGTTTTTCTTGTACCTGTACTTTCAGTCCGATATGTCGGCCACTTTTGTACCCATGCATCTTCATCTTGCGCCAAGAATGCATCAAACAACATCTTTGACGACCGTCCCACATCAGTGTTCTTGCTACGGTCGTGTGCTAGCAAGGCTGCTGAACAGCAGAGCTCGCTCGTGTGCTAGCAAGGCTGCTGAACAGCAGAGCTCGCTCACGTCTGCGGTATGCGAAACGCTACAACACCATGGCAGTGAAGGATTTCTGCAAATGCAGACAATGGTATAGCAATAGTATAGTTATAGTTATAGTTATAGTTATAGCCTAAGCTAAAGTTATAGTCATAGTAATAGTTATAGTAATAGTAATACTTGTAGTTATAGGCATGCGGCTGATACGGCGCCCTTGGAAGGGTTGCCAATTTTGAGATGTGCCATTTACGATCCCTTGGAAGGGTTGCAAATTTCAAAAATGAGGCTTGCGGAAATGGGGGTGTAGGATTTGATTTTTTTGAGTTTTTAACATGTTGCACATGCCGTCGTATGATCATCAGGGGGGTGGGGGGGTGTATTAACGTTCTTGACGAACACTTCCTTTACGTTACGGAAGATGCACACGTTGCGCATGCTGTCGTATGATCATCAGGGGGGGTTGGGGGTGGGGGGGTGTATTAACGTCCCTGACGAGCACTTCCTTTACGTTACGGAAGATGCAAACGTTGCACATGCTGTCAGTTGTGTCAAAGATTATCCCCACAAAAGGTTCAAGTTGGCCCAAGTCAACCCCAAACAAAATATCTTTACTAAGACTAAGACTTATCATTTTCGAGGTCGTTTGTGGGATAAATCCTATAGAACCATTGTTGCTGGTACTCAACAAATGGATGGAACATGGAAGCATTGAAAAAATGGCGACCTCCGAAGATGCTCCACAAAAAAAACTAAACTGTACAAAAAAAGGTACACTTGGGCCTACAGCTGGACATGGCGTCACAACGCTGCCTTGTGGCAGGCTGTGGCTTCTGCGTTGCCACAAGGGCTCTGGCACCGCTAGCGTCGAGAAGAGGGAAAAACTGGAAGAGTGAATGTCGCCCTGATATGATTCGGATGATTGAAATCATAAATTTCTAATGTTTTTTGACCCTTGAAGAGCAAAATCGAGTCACCGCGCAGGCGAAACGCAAATTTTCACTCTTGAGCCACACGCCTGCCAATCGAAATGAATGTCAATGTTGCAAACATTTTTTGACGACTCCTGCAAACACTAGCATTTTGTCTCTTAGCCTCAAAAATCAGAATTTCAAATTCGTCAATCTTACAAGGGCGCCGAGTCAACCGGTTGCCTAGTTATAGTAATAATAGTAGTAGTAGTAGCAGTAGTAGCAGTAGTAACAGTAGTACCAGTAGTAGCGGCAGGAGTAAGAGTAGGAGGAGTAGGAGGAGTAGGAGGAGTAGGAGGAGTAGGAGCAGGAGCAGGAGCAGGAGCAGGAGCAGGAGTAGGAGTAGGAGCAGGAGCAGGAGTAGGAGTAGGAGTAGTAGTAGTAGTCGTCGTCGTCGTCGTCGTCGTAGTCGTAGTCCTAGTCGTCGTCCTAGTCGTCGTCCTCGTCGTCGTCCTCGTCGTCGTCCTCGTCGTCGTCGTCGTCGTGGTGGTGGTGGTGGTGGTGGTCGTAGTAGTAGTAGTAGTAGTAGTAGTAGTAGTGGTAGTAGTAGTGGTAGTAGTAGTAGCAGCAGCAGCAGCAGTAGTAGTAGTAGCAGCATACAGTGGCTTTCGGGTGTTGTTGAGGAGTTGTTGAGAAGTTGTTGTTGTTGTTGTTGTTGTTGTTGTTGTTGAGGAGTTGAGTCAGAACTTCCTATTCCCTGGCGCGCTCCCCCTTGCTTGGCCGGGGTCGGCGGACATATACATACATACACATACACATATACCATCATATACTTGTACGTATACATACTCTAGTGTATCCATTGAACTAACGTTTTGTTGATTTGTGGTTTTGTTTTGGATCCATTTGCAATCTTATGAACAGGGCGCTATTGAATTTTGTTTTCTTTGCCGTTGCAGGAAGATCCTTGTTTTTGCTCCAAACTTGCAGCAGAACTTCAAAGCCTGCTCGATGCCAAGGATGTTGGCAATGTCAGCATATATTTACAGCAACCGCAGCATTGATAGTGTGTATGAGATTTGATGCATACCACTGTTGGATGGAAAAAAACTACACATCAATTGTCAAACCCTCAAACTGAATCATTTTCCCCCTATGACACAAGGCGAAGCGCTTCGCAAATCTCGCAGGGCACTTGGACATCCAGAGGGAAGGCACTGGTGAAGTCTTTGGAGATAGACAGTGAGAGGGTTTGAGAGAACTGCCTTTTAACAGATTCTGAGGTACTTAGTTTGTTTGGCAGAAAGTCCAAATGTCCCTAGATTGATAAAACTAGATGTTTGCATTTTTTTTCTGTGCTGAGGCTGGGAACTCTAAATGAAGCACTTCAGTGCATCAAAATTGATGTGGAAAGTGTGGAAATCTCAGTGCAAAAACTGTCTATGGTCATGAGTCATGAAATCACTGTGCATAGATTATATATTTTTTGTTTCATGTTTTGGATTGGGAATTTTCCAGTGCTTGCAACGAAAAAACTTCGGAGCAGATTCCCCACTAGTCCAGGAAAATTTCAGATGGGTTTGCTGTGACAACTTGCTGCTGGGCACGCACACACACACAGACATTGCCCATTTACGATTTTATGCACGTACAGAATTTCCAAAGAACATCTGCATTTTGATACATCTTGTAGCACATACATGCTTGCAAATACTCTGTGTGTGTATGTATATATATATATATGTATATATATATACATACCTGTTGCCCCAACTGTTTCCAACCGTTTCCCGTTGGACCTTCAAATATATATGTATATGTATATATATATATACATATATATATATACGTGCTGTATGCTGTATGCACCGCACATTCCCGTATGCACACATACACATGCACATACACATTACACATCACACATCACGCATAATTACACTACACATTACGCATACACATTCACGCACACATGCACACATGCACACATTCACACACACACACACATACACGTAGATAACACCTGTGTACTTGGCCTCTGAAGAGGTTTCAGGACAATTGGGTGCACTTTGGATATTTGAAAGCCTACCAGACTTCGCTGTTTCTTGTCCTGTATGCCTAAATGCCTATGTGTTAATTCTTCAACATTTCTGTGAAATAATGTAAGATTCCAAACTTCATTGGACTGAGATGAGGCTGCTATGGAGTTTGCAAACCACGCGAGTGAATATGACAGCACACCCGCAATAGCGGAGCTTCAGGCAGGCGGGTCTTTTTTGAAGGTGTGAGGCAACAGACCCTCGCGTGATGCACTGATCATGGTGCCGACTTGGGACAGGAGCTTCCTCCAGCTCCAATTCAGCCGCTTGGGAGCTCCAAATTAGGCTTCGGACAGTTCGTGAATTCGGTCGTTCCTGCTGTTTATTGTGAATCCCATGCGACAGGTCTACCTTGCAAGATTCCACCGCTGCATCTGCAGATGCTGCAAGCAGAACCGTCAGCAGCCCAGGATTGCGACTTTGAATCACCAAGAGGATCTGCCAGATAACAGTGTTTGATACTTTAGAAATACAGATTTATATATTATATGTATATTATTATGATATGTATGTAGTATTAAAATATATGTATATTATTTTTACAGAAGAGGTACCCATGGGGGGTGGAGACGTGCTTTTAGTAGAAGGATGTTGTTTTCCTTTGGAAGAAACAGATACTATTTTGCAGAAGCCACATTCTTCTTGGCAACTACTATTGCATGCCACAAATACAGTATTTCTTGAAGAAATGATGGCATTCCTTTGAACAGACATGTTCATTTTACAGTTTCAATTTTTCATGGTACAATGTAATAGGTTGAAAGAAGCAACATTCTTGTAGTCATGCATTATATCGTGAAAAACACTAGTCTACGATGTACTAGTCTTTCAAACAAAATGTACGGTTGAAATATACAACAATATTCACGTCGCTTCGCGACGGCAACCGCCCGCACCGCATCGTTGGGCAGCCGCTCGTAACTGCCAATGATGTCGGCCATTGAGACCAAAAACATCCGAAAGTACTGATTGTCGGAAAAAAAAACGCGAAGAATTTGATAGCCATGTATAGCGGACCAACGCAGTTCAAAAAATAACGAAAAACATGAAAAAACGGCGAAATTGCTGTTATTTACAGTGTTTTTGCGCGGTGAGAAGCAGAAACCACTGCAAATACCATGGTTTTTGAGGGTCAGGTGGCCAAAAACAGTGTAATTTACAGTGTTTTTTTAACCAACGTCAAAAAACACTGGTATTTACGATGTTTTCATTCACACCGTAACATAAAACAGTGTAATTTACGAGGTTTTTGGAAGTTTTGAAGCTAGCCGTCAAGCATGCAGAAAACAGAAAAACACTGTAAAAACCAGTGTTTCTGCTATCACAAAACGACGAAAATCAGTCCAAAAACGGGTCCAAAAACTCAAAAATCCGCCTCCGGGCCCGGCCACCTGCGGAACCGCAAAAAAAGATGTTGCAAACCAAAAAATTGAGGTCAAACAGTTGAAAAACACGGGTTTTTTTCACTTTTCGCTTGCCGATTTTGGACGGGCGCGTTCACGAACAGGTGGCTTCCGTACTGTTTTTTGCAGTGTTTTTTGAAGGCGAGCGTCACGACCTATCAAAAACAGGAGGTTTTGGCCGAAAAATGCCCCCCCCCCCAGGTAAACCTGTAACCTTTTACGAGTGCCATCCGGAAGATCACGCCCCAGCACCTTCGGTGCGGGCGGATTTTCAAAGCGATCCTTCCTCCTCCCACTAGTCAGACATCACTCATATATAAATGAGCAATATGCCATTCAATGATGCAATACTGTACCCCTAGCAGGAAGTGTACAACCTATAGCTGGAGAATACAACCAATTTTTGTTCAATACAGCCTACAGCCCATTATCTCCTTTGAAAGGGGCAGCAATTGTGCAGAGCATGCAATAAATCTTTCAAACATGTGCTTGTATTTTTACATTCTCACACAGGTACAGTACACAATTCACTGCAGAAAGCAGGATTGTTTTCAAGATGCATGATCTTCTCCAACAAAAAAAAATGTTCAAGATACAGCAGTCTTTTCAAGAAGTGCATGTCTCAAGTTTCAGTTGCGTTTTCATGCACAAAATGTATTGTTTCCCTGCAAGTGTGTTACTTTTTTTCTAAGGCAAAATATAGATGATGCCTGGAAAAGGTCTAGATTCAATTGTAGTTAAACTATCGTTTGAAGAAGTGCATATTTAATCTGGACATGTTCTTTTTTGAAAAGCACTCATGAACAGCATGAAAGCATGCAGAACACTCTTCAGAAAATGCAGAATTTGCAGCTGGAAATTGAACTCATGTTTGCCAAGAAGGATGCAACCAGGAGTTTGTTTTGAGGCAAAAACACACGTTTTGACAGGAGAAAGGTTAGAAAAAACATACTCATGTTTGCTCAATATCAAATACATATTTTTCGAGAAACATAAACTAGTGTGAACAAATCCAATAAATTTGTCAAATAGTATATATATATATGTATGTATGGTAATCTGTACAACAATATAATGCAGAATTCATTGCAGGCATCAAGATCATTGTATATAGCATATGGACATGTTATTCTTAAAATGCTAAACAAAAAAATAACAATTCTTGGAAAGAGACAACATCTCTGCAGAACATGTAGTATTTTGACCAGTTTTGTGGTGTTCACTTTCCAGACACAGTGTCAAAATCATTGATGAAAGCACATTTCTTGTAAGATTATATTATGTTTTGAAAAGTTTTGCGTTTGAAATGTAGCATGGCCATCTCACAACCACACCAACTCATGCATAATGATGCAAAACCTTGTAAAATCAGACCTTTCGCAACTCCACCCCCCATGCATACCTGCTCTCTATTTTTATAAATGTATAGACAGATGATTGTATATGTACAGAACATTATATATGTACACGATATTATATATGTAGAGAAAGTTAAATATGTGCATCTAACATTATGAATGTATAGAATATGATATATATATATATCTATGCATTTAACTTATTTTACGTAATATAATATTATATATGTATATGATATTTAATATATGTATATGATATTGTATATGTATATACTACTATTTATGTATAGAACATTGTATATATCTATTTCTGTATATATCTATTTATGTATATGATATTATATATATAATATTATAACATGTATAGAATATTATATAACTACATGCATGCATGCATGCATGAATGCATGCATGCATGTATGTATGTATGTATGCATGTATGCATGTATGGATGTATGTATGTATGTATGTTTGTTTGTATGTTTTTATGTTTGTATGTTTGTATGTTTGTATGTTTGTATGTTTGTATGTTTGTATGTACGTACGTACGTACGTACGTATGTATGTATGTATGTTTGTATGTTTGTATGTTTGTATGTTTGTATGTACGTACGTATGTATGTATGTATGTATGTATATATATATATATGTATCATATATATATATGCATAGAATATGTTTTCTTGCATTTTCGGAGGTGATGCCGGGTCACTAGTATGCTGGCATGCTCGGTCCTGGGGGGGAAGTCTGCTTGTTGAGGCTGGCGGTGACTTTTGAGCACAGTGGCGAGGAGGTTGGGATTGGCTGGAAAAACAGGGTCCACTTCCAGCACTGAAATCCTTGGAAGTAGGATATGGGCACCACATGCACAGGTAATTATAGGTAAATTGGCAAGGGCAAACTAGACTGCTTCCGTCTGTCATCTAAGATTGAAGTCGGTCACGTGTAGATTGATTTGTGGTTCTGCTAGGTTCTGCTGGTATCTCAGCATATATATATAGATTTCATGATATTTCCTGACATTGGGGTTCCACGCTCGTTGCATGGCGGACTTGGTTGAGTTGCAGTGAAAGGATCCTCAGCTTCCACGGAGTTTGTGCCAGGACACTTCCAGCTCGCGTGACGAGAGCCATGCACGGGCCTGAAGATCCAGAAAATTGGGAGATCATTGCATCATGTACCACGGATCCCGGTCGTAACACGCATCATATATTTGGGGTATACCATATACCTTTGCATTTGTATATATGAACCACCGAAACACTCCGGCCATAGGAAACATGTATGGGGTCGGACATTGGTTTTTGTTTTTTTTTTACAAACATGAGGTAAGCGATGGGACCTTCCAACATAGCGATACCCTCTTTGAAGGTTATGCCGTACCTGTGCACATACATCATTCTCCTTTAAGCTTTAAGTGATATCCCCCAAATCTGCCAAACACAATTTTTGTAAGGGATGGGACCTTCCAAATTCGTCGGTGCACTTTTCATGAACCTTGAGTTTCCGAGATTGCTTACTTGTACATGTACACAGTACACATATACGGACATACACACATAAGTACAAACCTATGCACATACATGTATTACATTGCATTTCATTGCATTCCATTCTCATTTCCATTTCATTCCATTCGATTCTATTTCAGTGCAGAATATAGCATAACATAACACAAGATACCATAAATATTTAAATCTATGCATACATGCATACCTATGTACACACGCCCCATCGTATGAACATTATATTACATTATCTTACAGTATATTGCATGATGTTAACTTGTCTTACATATTTCATAGATATTATATATATATTATATATATACATACGCATTGTATTGCATTATGTTACTTTATATTACATTATGTTACATTATATTACTATTGCATTATATTACGTAATATTACATTATATGACATGATATGACATCACATTATATTACATTACTGTATACTACACTTGAGCCACCTTAATTTCATTTTATTTCATTATATTGCATTATAGTAGATGTTTTGACATTATATTTACATTATATCTAGATTTGATTACATCATATTACATTAAATTACACCATATCACATTATGTGTATATATATATATATACATACACACATACATATTACATTAGTTTAATTACACCATATTGCATTTTTGTCATGATATGTTTTGATTACACTAAATTACTATACCTAACATTACCATACCATACCATATTATAGCATGACATATGTACAACATAGCGTAGCATAACATGTACACAGGTTGATGGACCAGAGATAGGGGCCAGGCACGGCTGACACTTGCCACGGGTACCAGTTAAACTTCTGGAAACTGGATCAAACAATAAGTCTCAGCATCGAGGCCATGAAACAGTTTGCTCAACGTTGATTTAAACTTAAGGACGTACAATTTAAGAAACATCTACATAGTTTCTGTGGCAAATATGTTTGAAAGGCAGTTTTGCATGAAGGGTTGAACAATTGTAGAGATTGTTGAGGAACTGTGTTGCTTGACTAGTGATCCAACGTCAATATTGCACGACCTCGCCAGGTCTTCACGAACGCCAAGAGCACAAAGTGTCAAACGCCTCAGAAAAAGCGCCTGGAAATTCAGGTGGAACAGTTGCAGAGTCCAAGATGATCCAAGATGATCCAAGATGATCCAAGTTGCACAGTCTTACAGGGACCAAGGTTGCCACGCCACCATCCACGCATATCCAGACATGGAGATGTGTGAAAATCCAAGGGACCCCACAGATTTTGGTGATTTTCCGCGATCCTGTATCAATCCGCTCCCATCTTCGGTTACACGAAGAAAACAACGGACAGTATCCACTTGACGCCATGGGTTTCACTGTTTTGATGGAAAAACTTGCAGGTCAACTCGCGGACACACACAGACGCCACTTCTGCGTCAAACTCTGAGAGCGAAACAAGGAAGTGCCAATGCTGAGGAAGACTGAGCGAAAAGAACCAAGATGAACCAAGTAGTCAAGAAACGCAAAGATGAGTCTGGTTGAGTCTGGTTGAGTCAAGACAGCAAATTCTTCATCTTCAACGCTGCCAGATTTCTTAGGTCCAAATCTCCAAGAGTTTGTGTCTCAGAGATTTTGATTCATGCGGAAGAAGCGCCGCTGCAATATTGATCAATATTTCGGAGATGCCTTGCACTCCCAATAAGAACGGAGTAGCCGAAGTGGCATTTATTTCCCGCGAGGATGTTTAAAGCAATTCCTGGATCCTCGCCAAAGGCCTCGCCAAAGGCCTCGCCAAAGGCCTCGCCACAGCGCAGTCCCTCGTGGCCTCCTGAATCCCTGTGATTCAAATGATGGAACTAGGATGGAACTAGGATGGAACTAGAACTAGGATGCCAGTCTGACGAAACAGCTGTAGCTTCAGACAATCCGGAGCTTCCAAATGCTTCCAAAGAGCTCCAAAAATCGACTGTAGTGAGACGAGTTCTTCAAGCATTCTGGGAGCTAGAGGTGTTCCGTTGGTGCTGCTCGAACTCCGGCCTCAAACTCAGGAGCAAATTTTCAAGAGGTATAGACTGGTATAGGTACTGTGCAGAAGCAAGCTTCAATGCCAATGTTTGATGAACGTTGATGCCTTGTGATTGTGCCTGCACAAGTCATCTTTGCATGTTATTCCATGTCGTTCCATGTCATTGCATGTTTTTGCATGTCGTTGCATGTCGTTGCATGTCGTTGCAGCATGTCGTTGCATATCGTTGCATGTCGTTGCATGTCGTTGCATATCGTTGCATGTCGTTCCAGGTCGTTGCATGTCGTTGCATGTCGTTGCATGTCGTTGCATATCCTTGCATGTTTTTGCATGTCGTTGCATGTCGTTACATGTCGTTGTGATCTAGTGACCGGACAAGTTGTTTGTTCAGGCCCGCGTGCCGGAGCCTCCTGCGAAGCCTCTCAGGTTGAAGCGTTTTATGGGTGGATATCAGAGTGCTGTGTCAAAGCCGCAAGACACAGCAGTGGACAAGCTGAACAACCGGTCCTTTTCTATGCTTACATGCCCTCTTCATGATTCAAGAAACGCTTGGCTATCCCATGCTGGCTTGTCCTGCAGTTGAACGTGCAGGTTCGTAATGCCTCCTTTGCGCTTGCCTGCTAAAGAGGTCCGACCAAATGGGTTTGCAACTAAGTTCAAACGCTCCGACAAAATACCGCAAAGCTATATTTAATATAGCTTTTCCTGTTCTTTTGAGCGTCCAAAGAATCGTTGTAAGCAGAAAGATCAGGCAACCTACAACTCCATTATGAAGTTTGATCGAATTTGCGAGTGTTGCCGCATTGCGTCTCCAGCGGGGTAGATATGGTAGATCCTGAATAGTATTTCTGCCATGGATTGCTGCTGTGCATTCCTGAGACCAATCCCAGATTCCCAAAAACGGATATCAATCAGAGATGCTGAACCGGCAGAACGAGACCCTAAAGTGACAGTCGAGGATGTTTCACCAGTTCGCACAGGGGCTGATGCCCGAGCCTCTATCAGACTCTTAAAGGAGGGAAACACCCGATTTACATCAGGGAATACGTTGAGGAAAACTACCAACGATACCATGAGGAAAGAACTCGAGATAGCAGAGGCACCACACTGTGCCATTATTGGATGTGCAGATTCGCAGGTGCCCTTGGAGACCATTTTCGATTCTAGCCCTGGCGATATTTTTGCGTTGCGAAACGCAGGCAACACCTGCACGCATGCTGAAGGTAGCATGGTTGGCAGTCTCGAATTCTGTATCTCCAAGCTGAAGTCCCGGTTGATTCTGGTCTTGGGACATACCCACTGTAGCGCAGTTTACGGGGCGACAAAAGCTTACTTTGACACAGTTCAGGCAGCACAAGCTGGACCCCCAGACAGGTCAGAACGTGCCTCAACCGCACTTGAAGGACTGCTACAAGATTTGTCCTGCATCGCTGAACAGGCTGCTAGTGAGGTTGGGCGTGATGGCAGAGATGGTGAGTTTGAAGAAGTAGCAATTCATGCAGTGAAGATCAATGTGTTCCACACCATAAATTTCCTTCTGAAGTATAGCTCGCAAATTCGGCAGATGGTTCGTCGTCGACAAGTGGAAATCCAGGGTGGCATTTACGATCTTGCAAGCGGACATGTCGAATTTTTGGGTTGTTCGCCTGATCAAGAGGAGCTTCTCAGCTCAAAGATGCCGCTTCCCTTGTCAGTGGCTGCACGCAGTTCAAACAATCCACTCAAAGGAGTGAGGACAGCTTCAGACAGCTGGATGACTGCCAAACAGGCGTTGGAGGTTCTGAAGGAGGGTAACAGTCGCTTTGTCCTGGGTACTCCTTTGGCTAAAGCTGCCGACGACCAGATGAGAGAAGCCTTAGTGAATCAGGGCCAGGCACCGCATACCGCTGTCCTGGGCTGTGCAGACTCAAGAGTGCCCGTGGACATCATTTTTGATGCCATGCCAGGAGACATGTTCGTCTTGAGGAATGCTGGAAACACCTGTACGCATGCTGAGGGAAGCATGCTGGGAAGCTTAGAGTTTTGTGCTTCAAAGCTTGGCTCCAAGCTGATCCTGGTTCTTGGACACACCAATTGCAGTGCACTGACCGGTGCAGCACAAGCGTATCAGAAGAGCCAAGAGAATAAGGGCCAGCTTTCCCAGTCTAGCAGGGTCTCAACTGCACTAGAAGGCCTTCTTACATCCTTATCAACTGTCTCAAAGCGAAGTGCGGATAGCTTGGGTCCGAATGCAGACTTCACACAATTAATTGCTCATTCTGCAAAAGTGAACGTCTTCCACTCCATTGACTTTATGTTGAAGTATAGTTTGCCTATTCGAGAGCTAGTAAAGAATGGTGGCCTTGAAATTCATGGAGCGATCTACCGCTTGGAAACTGGTCGAGTAGACTTCTTAGGCCCTTCGCCCAATCAGACACAGCTGCTCTCATCAGAACATCATCTTCCTCCGTCTATGGCAACTCTCCCCATGCGAAAAGAATCCGATGGTCCAGTGCCTCCTCGCATGTCGTTGAAGCTGCTGAAGGAGGGCAATGAGCGCTTCGTGAACGGCAATCAAAGCGCAAAGATCAGTAGCTGCGGCATGAAACATGCATCAGTCTGAAGATGGGTTGAATATGGGTTGACCCGGTAAACTATTCAATATCCGCCACTGAACTGAACGCCTGGAAATCCAGACAGCATAGTAAATGGAGTCAGACTGAGTCAGATAATGTTAGATATATGAGATGTTTGGGGGTTGTGATGGGTTGTGTGTAATTCTAAGGCAACTGTGAGCGGCGAGCCCTAGCCGAAGATGGGCAAGCACCTCACTGTGCGATCATAGGATGTGCTGACTCACGCGCGCCACTAGAGACAATTTTCGACGCAATGCCTGGTGACATCTTTGCGTTGCGAAACGCAGGTAACACATGTACACACACAGAAGCCCAGCTGGATCAGTTTGTAATAGTTGCTTCCTTTCTTTCTGTCTTGACAGTGCAAAAAAGTGGGCCTTTGATATCCTTTCATTAAATTTTGGGTCATTTTAATTCTTGTAAACATTGTAAACCTACATATTATATATATATATTTACTTATCCTCCTATTTCTGTGCGTGAGGAAGGCAGCATGCTTGGCAGCCTTGAATTCTGCACCAGTACTTTGGGCACCCGGCTCATCCTGGTGCTAGGGCACACGCAGTGTAGTGCCATCAAAGGTGCTACGAAGATGTTTTTACAATCAGGAGGCCGGATCCAGGTTGAGTCATTGATGCGTTTTTCAGGTATAGACTATAGAGGTGCATTGGTGCTTTCTAACTGCCACTAGACTTTGTTGTTTTGTTTTGTATGTTTGCGTGAATTCGGCAAATGGCGCTGTAAGGGGACCTTGTTGATGGACATGGTGACGCCATGTGACGCCGCCCTAATTTGTTAACCTCTTTGTCAATTGTTATTCATGCTATTTCATGCTGTTCAGCAGGGTATTCTTACTAAGTCTGACCATGAGTGAGTTGTTGTTCTCAACCATATTCTCACGGTGGTTGAACGGCAGATTAGATTAGACTGGCCATTTCTTGCGAGCACTTAGAGGGTCACGTATCGAAGCTGTTTCCAGCCTTTGACAATCACATGGGGGAATCTGCAGGTGTTGAACCGACAGAAAATAGAGCACTGGATGCCCTATTCGCTGGGCTAACGACGGTGGTGGAGCAGGCAGCCAGTGAATTGGGTTGCTATGCCACGGAAGAGGCAATTGTTTCACGTGCCACCAAGAAACTGGGCTGAAGAGCACGATGTTTTGACATTTTTTCAGCTTCACTAAGCCATTGTCAGCACTGGAAGCACTGTAGCACAACACATGCACAACATGAGACAAATCTCTAGGGAGGGTTATTTATTTTCGTTTTGTTTTTGCGGCAGGTTTTGTTTTTTTTTTGGTTCCTGGTTCTATGTTTTCCTGCTTCTGCTTTTCTGCTGTTTTTTGCTTCTTTGCTTTTCTGCTTTTCCTGCTTTGTGCTTCTGTGCTTGTCTACTTCTCTGCTTTTCTGCTTTTCTGCTTTTTGCTTTTCCTGCTTTTTGCTTTTCCTGCTTCTCTGCTTTTCATGCATCTCTTTTTCTCTGCTTTACCTGCTTCTTTTCTTTTCTGCTTCTCTGCTTTCCCTGCTTCTCTGCTTCTCTGCTTTTGTGTTTCTGTGCCTTTCTACTTCTACTATTCTACTTTTTCTTTTCTTCAGTCATGTGTTTTTGCTGCTCTACTTCCTGCTCCTCTGCTTCTCTGCTTCCTGTCTTTACAGTACTGTCTCTTGTTTTTTTTCCCTTTTCTTTTGCTTTATCCTCTCCTGTTTGTATCCTAAATGAAACCCTAAAGACCCTAGGTGAAATCCAAAGAAACCTGAAAGAAATCCTGATAAGAAGTCCTGATAAGAAACCCCTGCATGAAACCCTAAATGAACCCTAAATAGTCCCTAAATACACCATAAATGAAACCCTAAAGAAACTTTGAATGACACCCTAAACAACATCCTAAAGAAACCCCAAACGACACTCTAAAAAAACCTGAATGAAACCCTAAATGAAACCCTAAAGAAACCCTCAATGAAACCATAAATGAAATCCTAAAGAAGCCCTAAAGAAACCCACATGAACGTTTGAAAATCCTGATAAGAAATCCTGATAAGAAACCCTACATGAAACCCTTAATGAAACCCGAAATGAAACTTCAAAGACACCCTAAAGAATACCTAAATCAAACCCTACATGAAATCCTACAGAAACCCTAAAGAAACCCTAAATGAAACCCTAAACAAACCCTAAATGAAACCCGAAAGAAAGCCTAAATGAAACCCTAAATGAAACACAGAAGAAGCCCTGACGAAATCCACACGAACGATTGGAATCCTGATAAGAAATCCTGATAAGAAACCCTACATGAAACCCTAAATGAAACACGGAAGAAGCCCTAACGAAATCCACACGAACGATTGGAATCCTGATAAGAAATCCTGATAAGAAACCCTACATGAAACCCTAAATGAAACTCTAAAGAAACCCTCAACCAAAGGAAACCCTAAATGAAACCTTAAATGGCAGCTTAAATATAATCCTAAAGAAACCCTAAATGAAACCTTAAATGAAACCCTACATGAAACCGTACAGAAACCCTAATTTAGACCCTAAAGAAACCCCAAAGAAACCCACATGAACGTTTGGAAATCCTGATAGGAAATCCTGATAAGAAACCCTTAAATGAAACCCTAAACCCTAAATGAAACCCGAAATGAAACTTCAAAGACACCCTAAAGAATACCTAAATCAAACCCTACATGAAATCCTACAGAAACCCTAAAGAAACCCTAAATGAAACCCTAAACAAACCCTAAATGAAACCCGAAAGAAAGCCTAAATGAAACCCTGAAGAATCCCTAAATGAAACCCTAAATGAAACACAGAAGAAGCCCTGACGAAATCCACACGAACGATTGGAATCCTGATAAGAAATCCTGATAAGAAACCCTACATGAAACCCTAAATGAAACACGGAAGAAGCCCTAACGAAATCCACACGAACGATTGGAATCCTGATAAGAAATCCTGATAAGAAACCCTACATGAAACCCTAAATGAAACTCTAAAGAAACCCTCAACCAAAGGAAACCCTAAATGAAACCTTAAATGGCAGCTTAAATATAATCCTAAAGAAACCCTAAATGAAACCTTAAATGAAACCCTACATGAAACCGTACAGAAACCCTAATTTAGACCCTAAAGAAACCCCAAAGAAACCCACATGAACGTTTGGAAATCCTGATAGGAAATCCTGATAAGAAACCCTTAAATGAAACCCTAAACCCTAAATGAAACCCTAAAGAAACCCTCAATGAAATCCTAAAGAATCCCTAAATGAAACCCTAAATGAAACACGGAAGAAGCCCTAACGAAACCCACATGAACGTTTTTGGACATCCTGATAAGAAATCCTGATAAGAAATCCTGATAAGAAATCCTGATAAGAAATCCTACATGAAACCCTAAATGAAACCCTAAATGAAACTAAAGAAACCCTAAACCTAAAGAAAACTTAAATGAACCCCTAAGTGAAACCCTAAATGAACCCCTAAAGAACCCCTAAAGAAACCCTAAATGAATTCCTAAATGAAACCCTAAATAAAATCCTACGGAAACCCTAAATGAAAGCGTAAATGAAACACTAAATGAAAGCCTAAAGAAACTCTCAAGAAACCCACATGAATGTTTGAAGAACCAACATGTAGCAAATACCATGCAAATCAGAGGTTGAAGTGCCAAAACTTGGCAAATACCATGCAAAATGGAAGGCAAACATGGCAAAATGTAGCACATACCATGCAAAATGCAAAGTAACCATGCCAAAATGTCGCAAATACCATGCAAAATGACAGATTCTAGTTCCAAACTGTTGCAAAGACAAGGCAAATGGTACAAGGAAAGAAACCCAAACATATCCCAAAACCTGAGCCAAAAAAAAATCCGAAAACTAGTCTGAACCCAATCTCTAGCCTGGGATTTCTGGAGTTGAGTTGAACTCACAAAGAATCTCTTGTCGGACTCCAATCTCGACCACTGCCAAGGCTAAATATTTATAGATCGATCAATTTCCTGCTTCAGTACAGCAACTTGGCTTGACTCAGATCTTGTATCGACAATGGACACATGGACACTTTAGTCTTTTTGCCACACTTATCTACCTTCAGAACTTGAGAGTACTCCCCTGCAACCTGACAGGACATGACGCACACATTTCTGCTCCTGCAACCATACCATGACATTAGTCGTGCCAAAGCCTTTTGCGGGAACCTGTTAGGCTATTTTGTCCAGCCAATGTGGGGTACCTATAATCACTCAGTCGCTTGCAACACCGTTATCTAATGATTGGTAGCTAGCCTGCTTGATGCCAATGACCACAATTAGACCCGATCAAGAGCCTAACATTCGAATGTTGGGCATATGTTGGGGCCACATTTGTATCACTTGGTCCCAAGATCCCCAAAGATCCAAACAGATCCCAAAAGATTCGAACAGATTTCACAAGATTCCAAAAGATTCCAAAAGATCTCAAAGAACCAAAAAGATCCCAAAAGATTCCAGAAAAAAAAATCTCAAAAGATTCCAAAAGATACGAAAAGATCTCAAAAGATCCCAAAAGATCTCAAAAGATTCCAAGAGATCTCAAAAGATACCCCAAAAGATCCGCAAAAATACCAAAAGATCTCGAAGGCAAAATTTCAAGAACACTGGAACAGCACGATTCCAAGTGAATGACGCCCACAGCTTAGACGGCCAGGCGAGATCATCCGGGAACAGGTGGATGAGGGTGAGCTCGAGATCCAGGGAGGCATCTATGACCTGGAGACAGGCAGCGTGCATTTCCTTGGCAGAAGTCCGTTTCACGCGGAAGTGCTGAAATCTGAATCCAGTCCTTCTGATTCGTCCTGGACCTTCGAGAAAGTAGCTGGTTCTTGACTCTTCCCAAATCCATCTGTTGCTTTCAATATACTCATTTTGATATTCACAGGCCCTCAGAGGCCACCTTATTTTTAAAGCTGATTGGCAAACTTTTAGCTGCTTGTAGATATTTGTAGATATTTGTACAGTCCACTCTTACGCGAAAAGAGATTTCTCCTGTTGCCGAAGGTAGCCTAGACGCATTTGATCTATAGGCACTCCGACAAGAGCAACATCTGGAAGTCGCACGACCGTTCCACGGGAAATTGTCGTGGATCGGATGCCATCCAGAAACCATGGACCATCCAAGCGTAAAAAGAGAGAGAAGACTGTGTGGCAGTAACACGCAGAATTCGGTAAAGACATGTAAAGACTCAAATCTGTAGATTGTAGATGTTTGGTGATGTTTGTAGGTCGTGCACGAAGTCTCACACAATTGCATCTAATTTGAGTGTGGCACTGTCTGCAAATTATGAGGAAGGCCACACAGATCGGTTCAGGGCTTCTCTTTGACAATGTAGATGATGATTTGCAATTGGCATATCTCTCAGGCTTTGCACCCCGCGAAGACCACATGGTTCCATGTCTGTCTGGCTCACTTTCATCAGCTCTACATTTCATTGGTTGATTTTTGGGCGTTTCAAAGATTTTTTCAAGTGCTGTGCAAAAAAAACGTTTGTGCCAGGATTCGCGAAGCTCCTCCGTTGCGTTCAGCTCGTGGGGGACAAGCCGACGACACCCCGCGTCATTTGGCTCCTTTTGGCTCGCAAAGGAACAGTGATGTCCATGATGTCCCGAAGTCGACCACAAATCCCGGCCTCACGGCCTCACGGCCTCACATCATTCTGTTGACTCTGATGGTGTTGTGGCCCAGGTTCATTGCCTTCGGCAAGAGTGGTACAACCTGTGAGAGCCGCTCCGGCACCTGAAGAAGATGCATGGCGTCTCTATCTTGAAGGATTGTGCAGAGCTTAGCGCCAAGCCATGCAGAAGATTGCTGGGTTTGTGACTCCCAAAGATGGCGAGGACGAGCAACATGAGTAACATGATGTGGCAATTTGGGGGTGGTCCATGGCACCATGGTTTGACTCTGACTTCTTGCTGGAGATGAGAACTGGACTGCAGATACTGCAGGCCTGCTGTAACACCCCGATGCCCAGCCCCTTTGTTGTGTTCTCAGAGTTCCACATGGCATCACAGCTCCTTGAACAGAATGTTTGGTATGAAAGCCGCCTACTAATTCGGGAAAAAAAACATGGTAATGGGCTGCATGAGGCTCACGGCCAGGAGTGAAGCTCGGGGTGCGAGGCTCAGAAAAGCCACCATCAAACCAGGTCAAACATTTGGTTCAGCTATGCCCAGCTATGCTCGGCTATGCCCAGCCCAAACCTTGACTATCCTTGACTGCTTCCACTCCTTTGTCAACTCCGACACACCGTTCGACTGCGCAAGCTATAAATCTCAAGACGCGCCGGAGATGACCGAAGCACGTTTGTTTGATAGATCACATGGAAGAATTACTTCGACGAACCATGACGAACCATCGTGATCCATGATGAATCATGACCCATCACGACCCATCACGACCCATCACGACCTGGCCTTTAGCAAAGTATTGACAAGACTTGCAGTCAAACGCCCTTCCATCGGACTGCGAAATGCATGGCACTGTCCAAAACCTTGAGTGTATGAGGCTTTGCTCTCGACTTGAGACACTTTGTACGATCCGATAGTTCCTGCTAAAGTTGCTGTCCTGACATGCACCCTGTGTGGCAGGCTCTCGGAATCCCCATGACATGGGAGCCGCTGCACCTGGTGTGGATGGGAGGCCTGTGGATCACAACTTGGCCTAGACTGGGCAGTTAGAAGATGTTAGAAGATGTTAGAAGTGACTTGGTGTAGAAATGTGTAGAAGACTTCGACTTTCAGATCTGTCAGGGGGGTTTCCGGGATTTCCTGGCAGAACCTGGGTGTTATTTTCTGCGATTTTGTGGGGTTTCCGGGATTTCCTGGGAGAACCTGGGTGTTATTTTCTGCGTTTTTGTGGGTTTCCGGGATTTCCTGGGAGAACCTGGGTGTTATTTTCTGCGCTTTTGTGGGGTTTCAGGGATTTGCTGGGAGAACCTGGGTGGAAACAGTTGGGGATGGGCCTGGGAGAGCTGCAAGAGTTAGTTCGGGGAAAAGTGGCTGGAGGGTGGCCCGCTATTTTGACCCGCAATTTCTAAATTTCTGCCGCAGGCATTGCCGCCCCCTTTGGCCTGCAGGTTTGCCACGCTTTAAAGTTTAGTTAAGCATTACAGGGTATAGCAATATCTATCTATCTATCTACCTACCTATCTACCTATCTACCTATCTACCTATCTACCTATCTACCTATCTACCTATCTACCTATCTACCTATCTACCTATCTACTTATCTACCTATCTACCTATCTACCTATCTACCTATCTACCTATCTACCTATCTACCTATCTATCTATCTATCTATCCATCTATCTGTCTATCTATCTATCTATCTATCTATCTATCTATCTATCTATCTATCTGAGCCGTGGAACCGTGGAACCGTGGGGGGGGGAACCGTACGGCCACGGTTTGCCGGTTCACGGCCCGGTTCGCCGGTTACCGCCATACTCGAGGGGTTTGGCCTTGCCGGATGCACACTCTCAAAATCTAGCCTCGACATTCTTCTTACATGCTCGGCTCAGAAGCAGAAAATTAGACATTGGACCCCAGCAACTGGTGGAAGAACAAGTAAGTAAGCTATATATTATATTTGGCAAATATTGTCCCAACCTAACTAGCTGAGATACACATATAGAGAGACTGTACTTACTGTAGTTGACATGGATGAAATGATGATCCTGCTGCAAAGATGAGCTCGGTTGGACGGATTGATCCCTAGCTTTTGGCGATTTGGATCGATTTGGGATGTGTTGAATTGCCAGTCACTCAGAAATGGCTGAACTCAGGCCCTGCTTCACGCCTGCCGGAACAATCACGAGGTGCGAGCACTTTGGAGGGACCTTCCAAGATTCCTCTCGATTCCTCTCGATTCCTCTCCACAATGCGCCTCCACCAGGATGCAGCCAAGCTGCTTATCCATGAGTGTTGTGATGTACACGTCCAGGCTGGATTGGACTCGATGCTGGTACAGAATCATGGAATGTGTTCCCTACATGTTTTAGGAGCAGCTTTTCATACCAGTAATTTCTTCTTGGACAATCAGATGCATCAGTTGCTTCATGCTCCTTTTTTTCAACGAGATCAATGCCACCCAGTTTCAGTAAGACAGCTTGAGCTTTGCAGCATTGCTTTGGATGCTTTTGGGGTATATTCAACCTGCACTCGGAGGCTGGCGCATTCATAAACAGTTTTGGCTCAAGTCAAATTTTGGCAGTGAATCTCTTCTCGCTGTGATAATGTCCTTGCGATTCCTGGTGGCGCTTTCTGCGCTATGGTCAGTCACTGCCAAGCTTTTGATTCAAAAAGCTGCTCCCAATTTTGCTCTGGATGCCGCTATGCCTGATGATTCTACCAAGAGTGTGTCCTTGGCGGACTACAAGAACAAGTGCCTGGGATCTGCTGGTTTTGGTTTTGTTTTTATACAGAGGATTCACACTCAGAAACTCGTGATGAGCGACCTTCATGATTGACCTTGGATCTACAAGGCTTCTGCACTTCTAGCAGCATGTTTTACTGGAGGTGAATTACGTAGACATTACACATTCCATACCGGTGGGTCAAGTGCCTGTTTGAACTGTTGTGAGGTACGTGATTCTGTTTTTCTACCCCTTCGACTTCACCTTCGTTTGCCCCACAGAAATCATGGCCTTCAACAGCGTGGTCGATGACCTGCGAGCCAAGGGAGCAGAAGTTTTGGGCATCTCAACGGATTCGGTGCATTCGCACCTGGCCTACCGACGCTTAGAGCCATCCCAGGGAGGCGCATGGGCATGGCGGGGCTTGCAGGTATGGGATCGGGGGTGACAGTGCAGCAGTTTTAAGCTTGTCTTGATTCAATTTTGATTCTGCATCCAACTTCCCTCCACTACCCTGAAGTGCTTCGCTTTTCTTGGGAGGAATTGGCAAGATCAAGTTTCCGCTGTTGTCAGACTTCAGAAAGGAGGCATCGAAAGCATATGATGTGCTGGCTGACGATGGTTCTTCCCACCGTGGCCTCTTCTTGATTGACAAGCATCTAAGAGAGAATACTTATAGCATCAGCATTTTTACTTCTGAACATTTCTTCACCCTTTGCCTTGCACAACATTTATGAATATATATATATATATATACATGGTCCACTCGTTTGTTGTAAAAAAAAATGTGTTCAAACAGCTGAGCCCACACTTCACCTGTAAAGTTTTGGGACATACTAAAACTAGAACCTGGGTTTCTGATAGTACTGAAACAAACTCTTTTCCAAGGTCCGGAATTGTGCGGCACCAGCTGGTGAATGACGAGCCTCTGGGGCGTTCAGTGGATGAAGCAGTGCGCATGCTCGACGCGTTGCAGTACTTCGAGAAAAACGGCAAGGCTTTCATGCAACATGTTCACACCATGGGCTGAATTATGCACGCATACAAACTCAAATGGGGTGGGGTGGAGCCTTGGGGACACAAGAGACTTCAATCAATCTTCAGATGTTTTCAGCCTCAAGTAATCTTGGAGAAATTGCGAAGCCATTGTTCCGTGGCCATTGTTACCGAGGCCGTAATGTAGTGATCACGACGGTCGGGCGCCTGTCACTGAAAATTCGCGAGTATTCCCATCACATGTTCTTGTGATTCATGAAGTATTTATGTCAAACGTGCACATAAAATGGAGCAGGTTCTTTGTTTGTATTCGAGTTGCTTCGTGACCAGTACCGCCCGCACCCAGGGAACAGGACAGAGAGGAAAG